AATGATGTTAAATGAAGATTTTCTTGATGACCAATTTGTATATACATCTAGAATAATACGTAGAAAAAAACACATAGAGGTTAATTAACAATAACAAACAAAAACATTTCATATTATCTGACAAGAAAAAGAAAAATAACATATCTGACTAGAACAAAAATACTGTTAATATTTAAAGATAGAACAAATTTTTATATCGTTCACAATTAGGTGGAGCACCAAGAGTTTCACCAACTAATGACGAAAGACGTTGAGCAAACTAAAAAATATCACTGATAAATATCGAATGAAATGAAAGTTCTTACTCGACAAATGGATGGGAAAAAAAATTGATTTCGTTGTGGAATGTATAATGTTAAATAAAGTATCAGTCGTTGAATTTTTTGGGCAGATAAATCTGTATTATCAAATAGAACAAGAAATTGACGGGCTTGTAATGTTGAACTACGATCACGATGTGATGATAAATAAAAACAATAACTTGGTCTATATAAATACATTATATTATGTATGAATATATATGCTAAGATAACTTACGAATCTTTTGCAACTAAACAATCGACATTTGCAATTTTTTTCGGCTAAAATTCATATGAAGAATAAAACATTTGGAATACTTCCGTATCTGAAAATGTTTTCAAGGGTGTCTGTGAGTATTGTTTCTGTTTATTTTTATACTTCAAGGTATTATCATTAATAGATCAAGGTAAAATTCTTCAACTACAATCGTCTCAAGATGTTACACAATATAGATTAGAAAAACATTATTATATAAGAGTCATAACATTACTTATTACTCAAGAATAGGTCAATTGAAAAGCAACTAAATTAGTATGTACTAACCAGGAAAACGCTGTAGGGGGAGGACTTAGCGCCAGTGTTTTATCTAGTGGGTGGGCGGCGCCCACCCGGATAAAACATTACTTAGCTATTATACTGAAGATTTACCTGAACATAATTATAGAAATCATAAATCATTTGTTTCATAAATGTAAATATAATTAATCGTGGTTTATAATCTCCCATAATATGTTCATCTGTAATTGTATCGAGAATTAATTGTATTTCATTTTCTTTAATAGAAGTTAAATCATCAACTGATGAAAAAACATTTCGTCCAATAATAATTGTTGTTGGATAAATTTTATTTTCCTAGTTAATTTAAATATAAAATTATATATTAAAAATAAGTTTTAGTATACTTCATAATAAGCATTGATTGCTAGTCGAACAAAAATTCCAATATCAGATCGAAGATCATGTTCATTTTTATATGATTTTGCATGACTAAAATATTCTGTCATATTATAATTTATTGAACCAACAATAGATAAAACATAATCAAGATGATCTGGTGATTTATAATTTACACTTAATGATGTCCAAGTACCTATTCCAATTATCATTGTATTTAACTAGAGAATGAATATTAGAATTAGATTTTTTTTCTCGAAAATAAAATCATACTAAAGTCATATTAATTGATCGAATTTGTCCACCAAGTTTAAAATTAATATTTCGAGCAATATTAAATGCCACACCTGGTAGAATATCATCATCAGCAATTGTACTTCTTAGAACAATCTAAAAATATTTAAAATAAAAGACTATTTAAATAAAATTAGATTTCAAACTTCAGATGGAGTTGGAATTTCAATACAACAAATACGTTTTATTGTATTATAACGATCAATTCGACGTGATCTAACAATAATTGATACAAGTTGTATCTATAGAAAAAAATTCAATTAAAAAATGAAAATTATAGTACTAAAAATTGTTTACTTGTTCATTAAGATTATTTCGAAGAACATTTCCATAAGTTTCAGTTTCATCATCATCCATTTGTATATGAATAGGTTCATTAATAAGCATTCCTTGCTGTTGTCCTACTTGTCGAAGCATATTGACATAAATAAATGCTCGATCTTCATCAACTTTAGGATAGATTAAAAGCCACGAAGTCAATTCAATCTATTAGTTTAAATAATATTTAGTCAAATAGACACAAAGCAAAATATTTCTCATACCGGATTAACAAAATGTCCATAGGAATGATCATTATCTTGCATATCTTTTTGTTCAATATCATCATCATCGGATAAGGAATCGTTGACCGAAATTTTCTAAATAAAAAAAACCATATTTGTTTCTTCTTCTTTATTTTAATTATACTCGATGTGATTCATTTATGGATGATTGTATTGGTACAATATTTGCTACAATATCTATACCCCATGAAGCAAAATATTTAACTGATGCTGCATTTCGTCGACACATATCGTCAAAATAAGAGAGTTCAGCTTGACGTCCAGCTGAATCTAATGGAATGAAATTATTTATTTTTCGTGCCTATAGAAAGAAAGGATTAGATATGTATTTTATCAATAAAAGAAATTCTTTACTCGAGCATCTCGATGGGCTCGATCGGATAAACCAGTTAAATAACATAATTCTGGTACAAGATAATTTGCTTCGATATTTGTCTAAAATAAAAAAACTAAAATTTATCTGAGAATAAACTAATGTATATTATTCTAACATGTTCACCAGGTCGTCGAGGACAATAGACAATTAATGGTTGATGAGGATCTTTAATTACGATATCAAATTTATTCCTATAAGAAATAAAATAATAAAATCGATTAATTTGAAAATATTGATTTACAAATAATAATCAACTAATGTTGTTTGTGAATCATCATTTAATAGAAATGTAGCTGGTGTTAAATTAAAATCAATATTATCAATACGTTGTGTTCGATTATCATATCTTGTAAGAACAAGTTTATTAACTAATTCTTTTCTCGCTGATTCTTGATAATCATCACCTGATGTTGACATATAAAAACGTTCTCTAAAAAAATAGATTTATTTATTTCTTCTTAGTATTTTATTTTATCTTACAATTCTTCATAACATGTTGTTGTTGTTGATTTTTGTATAAAATCAATTGTTAGTAATAAACCATCTTCTTTACGTTCAATATCTACAATTCTACCATTCCAATAACGTACTCTAATATAAATATTTTTATTTTAATTCGAAAAATTCTTTCGATTTACTTTTGACGATAAATATTTCGATTTATTGAATTTATAATAGATTCTCGACCATGATCAATTGCTCTAGAATATAATCTTATTATTATATTTTATATTGAATAAGAAGAATTTACAATCGAAATAAAATATTAATTAAATCAATTGGAATTTGTTCAATATTAATTGTATCAATAAATCGAATACGTACTTCATTTGGAGTATTTAATGTTGTATTATTAAAAAGAAAAAACTATTAAACAAAAAGACATTTTTTTTTTCGAAAAGAAAATTTTCTTACTTCTTTTGATAATTGATAAGGTACATAAAGAAATTGACCATCATATAATTTATATGATGTACCAACAAATTTTGATAAATGATTAATCATAGTAAAACGACTTGTTCGACTTGATATTATCGGTTGAAATTCAATGATATATTTATACCATGGTGTTACTGCACATCGAATTAATATTTGATTTTCATTACTATAGGATTTAATTATGTATTAATCTTTTCGTTTTATTTCAAAACTTACAGTTCTCTCGTTGCACTCGATGATGATGATTGTCTAAAAAAGGAAATCGAAGAACTTAATAAAATTATATAAAAATTTACTTTATTTGACGTAGAACTTGAGCAGCACGTCCACTAGCTACATTTAAATTATCATTATTATTAATGGATGGTGGCAAAGGACATGAAAATGAATTTGACTAGAATTAGAAAATCATTATTTTCAAAATATAAACAAAATAAAATTAATTTACCATATTTTGAAAGATATCTTTTGCTGGACTACCACGTCCATAATTTCCTGGTGACTTTCCATTATTCATTATTGACAGAAATAAATATATATGTTTTACGAAATAATTTGGGAGAAATTTTAGGCTATCCAATCAATAGATTTCTCGATTGTAGTGCCATCTAGATAAGAATTTATTATAAAGGAATATTGCTAGGAGACATAATTTTGAAATGGTTGATGAAAATTTTATACATTTGAATGTTTTGAAGTTATAGTAAAAATGACTGACGAACGAAGTGTTCCATTTCCACCCGTTCCAACAATGATTAATGATAAGGATGAAATGAATAAAGATTCTAATCAAGAACAAGAAACTAAATTAGCAACAGTTAAAATGTTACTTGAATCAAATGGTCAAACAGTAACAGTTGCTTTTCCACTTCATGCACCAGTCATTGAATTACTTACACATTTTGCGAAAGAATTACGTATGTCAGCAAATGTATTACAAATTATTTTTAAAGGTTAGAAATATAGTTTTTTTATTCCGATATGAAACGTTTGTTTTTTTTATTAGAAAAAGTTCTTGATACTCATTTAACTCTTTCACAAGTTGATGTCGAACCAAATACTACTGTCAGCATGGGTTTGTTTTTTATAAAAAAACTAATAGATTTTTTTCTATGAAGTAAAATAATTTGTAGAATTACATTCAAAAGATCCAGTAAATCAACCATTACCACCATATAGACCACGTCAAGATATTTCTATGCCTGATGTTATTACTGTTCGAATTAATGAAGGTATATAAAATAAGATTGAATGAGTAAATTACTTATGTATGTGATTATTCATAGATGTAGATGCAAGTCGTGATATTGTTGTTGAAATTGAACGAAATAATATTCGAAAACCATATTTGGGTGGTATGCGTGATCGTATGACTGGAAAAGAGTATCATAATGCAAGTGCTCAAACAATACCACCACAAAGACCTGATAAAGGTACAATACGTTATTGCCGTGATACTCAAACAATTCAATCAAAACATCGTGTTATTCAAACAACAAATGAACAATCAACACAAATGAGTAAACCTGGATATTTCGTTTCAACGGATAATGATCGTTTAATTACACCACATCCGTATCAAACAGCTGATGAAAAATTTGAAATTATAACAAAAAAAGTAAAATAAAAATAATTACAAAAACAATTGAATGAATTTTCTTTTTATTAAATAGGCAATTATAATACAAACATATTTTCGTCGTTGGTTAGCTAAACGTGATGTGAATACATTAAGAGTAGCATTTGAAAAACGAATGCAATATGAATTAGAACAAAAACAAAAACAAGCTGATGAACGACAAAAACGTTATCAACATGATCTTGAACGACGTTTACATCCAAGAACAAAAGATGATTTTGATGTACTTTATGCTGCACTTGAAAGTAATATTTAATTTAAAAGAATATTTTTTATATTCTTGTTCGTTATTAAGAATGGCGTGAAGAAGAAATAGCAAAAATAAATGCAACAAAACAAGGAGCAGGTTAATAAAATAAAAAAAACGAAATTATATAAAATATTAAAAGAATTTATTTTATTTAAATAGCACGAAAAGCAGCATTAGCATTATTAGTTGATGAAGAGACGGAATTATTAGCAACAATTGATCGATATAAAACAGAAGCTCAAAAATATAATAAAGAAGCGAATATACAACGTTTTCTTGAACGTGTTGCTCAACCGAAAAAATGGAAACGTAAAGATGGTACAACAACAGAAATGGAGTAAGAGAAAATTTTACTTTTCAAAAAAAACAAATTTCTATATGATTGAAATATTAGAACACCGTATTCAATTCGTGCTCGTGAATTAATGCAAATTTACAATACAATTACAATGAAATTTTTAACACTTGATGAACGACTTGATATTCTTCTTACATTAAAACATACTGTTAAAGTATATTATTGAACATTTTTTTGTTTATTTATCATAAAATAAATTCATTTTCAGGAACATGAATGTCGTCTTACAGAAGAAATTATTCAATTAATTGATCGTGAAGCTGATCTTCTTATGCGTGGAACAAAAGAAGAAAGTTTAACTGGTCTTCGTGAACGTATTTCAACATTATTTCTTCAATACATTAAAACACCAACATTTAATCCTGGTGTTGTTCGACATCTTAAAGTAAAATTTTCATTGTTTATATTACCTTTCTCGTAGAGAAGAGTCCAGCAGAAATAATTTGATTGCTTGTGTGTCCGCAGGGTCAAAAGAACATTTCAATGCAGGGACTTTGAATCTGATGTTAGTTTTTTGAATACATAATTTACTGGTAGAGAAGGCATATCTGTTCTACGAGAAAGAGCTGAGCGAGTCTCCAGACGAGCGTTACTTGTATAATTTATTGACTTAAAATTATTTTTAGGTACCACAAGATCCAGTTTCAGCTACAGAACAGAAGACACTTTATTGTCGTAGTTGTCAACAATACTATCCATCAACAGAATTTTCTGTTAGTAGTACCAATGCTAAAATTGGTAAATGTCGACAATGTCTTCGATTAGAAAATATTGCTAATAAACGAGCAGATCATACGAAATTTAAGTATGAAATAATAGATTTTATTTTCCATTTTTCTATTAAAACGGTTTTTTCTAGATTTTTACTTAAAAAGATTGAAAAAGAAGAATGTGGTTATAATGATGGAGCTAGTTGTGTATTCTTACTAACGGTAAGAGAATAATTCATGTTTTATTGATAAGTTTGTTTTGTTTTCTTCTTCATTAGGTCAGTGATATGGAGTATATGTTTAAAAATATATGGGATAGTCATTCAGTTTTAAGTGAAGAATCTGATATATATAATTTAACATTTGTTCGATGGAATCGTAATGAAGAATTTTCTCCATGGAATTGTATTTTATTAACATTAGAAGAAGCAACTGTTCATTTAAGAATTGAAGATGTTGAAACAGTAAAAAAACAAACATTTTCTAATTATATACAAAACAAATTTCTTTTTATTTATCTTTTAACTAGAGTTATAGTGAATCATTCTGTAAAAAAATACGTTATAAACATGCGATATCACGTAATCATTTTACTAAACTTGTTGAACATGTTAAAAACAATCAACAACAACAAGGAAATGGACCAAAAGATATGACAGTAACAGCGATTAAAGTCGGACGACAACGTGGTACACCATCAGCTATGGCAAATGCATCAGCATAGAAAAATAAATTGACAAGTTTCTTTTAAACTTACTGAAAACAAATATTTCATCTTGTCTTTTTATGTTTCTTTTTTTTACACTCATTAAAAATAATATCCATAACTTATATTTATTAAATTTAAACAAAAAGAAATATTAGCGTGTGTTTATTTTCTAACGTAGAGATCATAATGGATGAAGCAGAAGAAGAAGAAGACGCAAGAACAAAAAAGATACAATTATTTGATGAATTATGTAATAGTCAAAAAACTGTAAGATATAGTTTTCATACATTTTACAATGAATCGCTTCTTCTTTTGTTCTATATAGAATAATTTTCCAATAACAGATCCTATGCTACATGATGCATCAGAGATTCTTCCTGTTAGCTTTGATGAGTTTTATAATGTATGAAATTTAATGATTCATATTCTACATCTATATCAATTTATTATAGGATTTTGCAAATATGTTCAAAACTTCATTAGATGTACTACAACCATTAGAAGATCGTCTCAATGAATGTGAATCAATACTGAATGAATATACTAATGAATTTTTTCGACAAGAAAACGATGTATTTGTACCTCTTAAACCAAAAGCTCGGTCATATAGTTTATCACTTGATGGTTCGAAAAAAAAATATTTATTTGATTTTATCTAATTGATTTTCTTTTCTTGATAGAAATACATAATGTTGATCCAACTAGTGAATTAGGTCTGATATTTAAACGACGAAAACAAATTTTTTCTAATGCATTAACACGTGAAAATGAAGATGATCGTGAAACTGTAGAAAATATTCATTATAAACCGATGCAAACAAATTTTTATAATAATCGTATATTCAAGGCAGCTCTTGATATTCGAGATACTTTAAATAAAGTAACATCTGCACAAAAATTTAAGGTTATTTAAAACAAAAGAAGTATATATTCTTTTTTAATCTTATTTTTTTTATATTTAGGATAATTTTCTTCATTGTTGGAATAAAATAGTTCGAAGTGATACAAGTCAACATATATTAATCGATGCATTCTGGTGGATTTATTTAAAATATTTTACAGTAAAATAAAAAGTTTTTAAATCGATATTTATTATTTCATAGAAGTTTATTCTATTCATAGAAATTACCTAATGTTGATGATGAATGTGAAAAATATTTTACACGTATTGCGAAAAATTATGTTGAATTACTATTATCAGTCGATTCATGGTTTCAAGATAAATTTTTTACTGTAAATTTTTGTTTTTGTAATAATTATTTCTATTGGCTTTTTTTATGATTGAAGATTTATGGATCCTATTTGGGTCAAGCTATTTATCAAATGTTTTTCGATATATGTCCGGATTCACGAATGAATTTTACAGATAAATTTAAGGAATTTATTGCAAGTGCAACTTCGGAATGGGTTACAGGTATTCAAGCCACTCCAGAAACTTATAAATATTGGAAAATTCATGCTGATGCAACGATGGTAGCAAATGAAAATGCATTAGAACAAAGATCTTCACCAACGAATAGTCAGTATTCGAAATCATACTGATAGAATAAATAAATATTTGTTACTTTTTATAATTTAGTTTATAAAAAAATTCGTCGTCTTGAAGAAGAATTAGAAGCTTTGGGTGGTGATAGTGGAGAAGAAACTGCTCGACCTCCTTCTATAAGAACACCGAAAAGAGTATATATATATACTTTTTTTTATTTCGTATTATACATAGAAAAGTCTTTTGTGCTTTATTATTATAGAATGTATCCATTGATTTTACTAACAGAGTTGAACTTGAAAATCAATTAGTTGATTTAAGTAATCAAAGTACGTTAGTTGCTTGGTATTTTCAACAATGTGACATTCAGCCGAATACACCACGTTTACGAAATGTAGAACGAACATTTATTAAAGAATGGCCAGAAGAACGTTAAATCTACTTTTAATACTGTTTTATTATTCATAATAAATCTCATAGATGAACTTCTCAAATAGTTACCAATTCAACGATTAGATTATTTAGATATGAAATGATAAAATAATGATTTATTTTTATTTATTTTTGTTTGTAAATAAATACAAAAAAAGATGTATATCACAACTTTTATTTATGAAGAGTGTGGGTGAGAGTGATGTTATAATTTCTTACTTTAGAGTTTCAACTATTGACGGATTCATAGAAGAAATATAAATCATTATAAGATAAAACAGGAATTTATTACAATTTTAACAAGCACAAGCAAAAACTAAGATTTTCTACGTTGAATATATAATATAAAATCAATTTGAAGATTGTATTTCAATGTGATTTTCGATTGTTATTATTTTTATGTTTGATTTTGTCTTCATGTATTCGAGTAATTGTATCTTTTTGCATTAAATCAAACGAAGTATCAGGTACGCGTTGTTCTTTGATAATTGCCTCTTCCCATTTCGAGCAAATCAGATTATTATGATGGTCTTCTTCTGTTGTCGTCTTGTTTTTTGTACTATTTGTTTGATAATTATATCGTTGTAAAACAGGAATACGAATAGTCTTTGAAATAAGTTGATAAGTACAGCGCTGCATGATATTTTAGATTGTTCTATTATTTTGTTTTCGTTTATCATTCGTCCTAACCGTATATATAATACTTAACAACGTGTTTATATTTACTCTGTGAGTCATATCCATGATGCCCAATAAAACTTATTGTATTCAATCGAATCATTTTCTTTTCTAACCCTTTTAGATCAATTAATCGATATGAGTCATTCTCACCACCAAAAAAGATCAGTATAATCTTGAAAAACAACGTATCAAATTTCTTATTTTTTTTGCACATGGTAAAAAGTACATTCGTAAAGAACGATAAAAAGTACATTTAACTGAGATTAAGATCGTTCGATTAACAACGTTGGTCATTTTTCTATTTACATATAAATTATTATGATATTCAATACTTTGTATTCAAATAGTGACAGCACTTTTAAACTAAATGATCGTCATATATAGAATGTAGAGTATTGTATCAATTCTTCGAGTACAATTAATGTTGAGTTAAGAAAATTGTTCTTTGTCTTACGTATAAGAGAAAAAAAATTAACCAACGACTCCTAAAGATCTGACAATATGAATAAGATTTTATGTAATAGTAGTGTAATAATTGAAATCTGAATACAATTGTTGAAGTAAATAAAAAATATTCAAATATTTAAATAATTGTTTTTTCTTTAGTATAAATTGATGTAAATAAGAAATAAACGGTGTCATAAATAAATATTGTCCATCTAGACATTGATCGAGGTAAATTTGGAGTGTTCAAACTTTTGAGACAACTTTTTTATCAAATCAGATGAACGTAAATTATAATACAATATAAAATGATTCTTGGTAAATGAATTGTTACGTCAATTTAATCTGTTTATAAATGAATTTCTACTGATTTCGATATCACGAGTCGCTTACAGAGAATATATTCTAAGATTATTTTTTTATGGTTTACTTTCTTTAATGTTGTTGATAATATTTGTATTTTTTAACCACATATGTAATAAGTGAATACAGACGGATGAAATGTGAAATAAAGTATTTTTAACAATAACTACAAATCTAAGTGTCAGTGTAGTTGATTATCTTGTTGAATTATATAGTCTCGATGATCTTCTGAGATAGTTTACACATTTAGTAATAGTCGATGAACAAATATATGTTCCACATTTGTTTAATATTGAACGAAGGAAACTGATCGAATCTCCAATGTCCATGTATCGACATCTTATTGTATCAAGAAAAGACAATTTCATATCTTTATTTACGTGATAAAATTTCATACCACAAAAGCAATAAATCATTTCAAATCTTTCTGAAATATCTGTTCTGTAAGTATAAAAATGTAGAAAATTAAGATGTTAACAATTCTAAAACAGAGTAAAATTGTTTTTATCTTGGATATTTTTATATAATTCAATAGAGTCCATCAAGCTTTACAAAATAGTATATACATATCTTCAAAAATTCAAAAATCTCCTTTTTCTCTATAAGAAAGGAAAACACTTAGTTTTTAATATGCAATTATCTTTCTTCAATATTTTTTGTTACTTTCAACGTATTCACACACACACTAATTGAGCTTATTTTTTTATGCTACGTATATTAAAAGCATATTTAAGTAGGTGTGAAGTAATAAAAAACATGAAGAAAGATAATTACATATTAAGAATCAGATGTTTTTCTTTCTTGTTGAGAAAAAGGAGATTTTTTAACGATTTGTCAAGTTTTTCCAGGTTTTTGAATTTTTTTGTTCCAAAAATATGTATATACTGTTTTGTAAAACTTGATGAACTCGATCGAATCATATGAAAATATCCAAAAAAAAAACAATTTCACTCTACTTTATAATTACTAATTTATTCATAATCTTTACTATTTGATAAAGAATACTTTATGGTGTCATTTACATTAAAGATTGAAGAGTGGAACACACTGCTTTTGTAACACCGTGCACATAAATAAATATTGTTTTTTATTTTGATTTAGGTGAAATATATATATTACAATGGGAAAAAATACATCCTTTTATTAGTCTATCCTTTTTTTGTATCATTTCTATTTTTTAATTTGTATGTCATGTACACCAGTAAAGTCAATACTTTCTCGCTGTGCATATATACTCATTATCGGAAGAAACTACATCATATAATAGTTTAAAGCAAAAAGTACAAAGAGCAGAAAATTTATTTGTTTTCTCGTTATATAAATTTATTTTTTTCAATTTCATTGGTTGCTTTGATTTTCTCACACCGTTTAATTATTCTTCCTGAAAGAAAGGAAAAATTTTTTTAGGAGAGACTGATGAATTTTACTGAAATGAGAGACGGAACACTGACAACCTAGTAATAAAAGAAAATTGTTATTCTTATAAATCTAATTTCATTTCATTTTATTATCACGAAGGCACACTTCATTATAAGGCGATAACATAGTGATAGTAAAATGTTGTGGACATATGTCACGTACACTGTAGCTGATTATGGTATTTCGATAGGCCTTGTGGTCTTTGCGATTCTTGGCGTATTCGTTACCTTCTTCAGATCAAAAGCTGGTCAAGAGTTTGTTATTGAACGAGTCATTGGTGTTAATCCGACTAAAGCACATCATCGCTATAATGATCCGGATGGTGATGATGAACAAAACGACATCGCGAATCAGAAATTTGCTCAGATCAAGAAGCGATCTCTCTTTTATATTGGTATATTTTGTTGTTTGCTTGGAGGAATGACACTTTCTATTACGGGCGTGCTCATATTTCAAGGCTGTTTCTTAGCAAATATCAGAGTTTTGAAAGGCGATAATTGTCCTGAATATGATATGGATTGTTTTATTTTCGGATCGAGTGCTTTATTTCCCATATCGGATAATGTAAGCTTTATTTGTGAACGTTTAGCAAAAGCTGATTTTGTTACCAATGTAACTGATGCTACTGCGTGGTGTTATGCATGGATTATTGCTGATCAAACAACCAAAGATCTTCTGGATGCATTAGGTGTAGCCATCGCTCTTATTGGTTTCTTTACAACAATGTTAGCTGCAGTTATTTATCTCGGAAAATGCAAGAAAACAATTGCATTCTCTATTTTCGTCATTTTAATTTGTGGTGGTGCCATGATTGCCTTACTGGTTTTAAAATGGTCATTTGCTCCTTTAACTTATGGCATCCTTTTTCTAGGTATATTATTGGGAATCTTCGGAATAGTTCTCTACTGTATTTTACCTCCACCAGACAAACAGAAGAATAATAAATCGATAACTCGACTAAATATTGATCAACGAAACGTTGCCACTAATGCAATTAAGCCGAATATGAACCGTTCCAATCCGGCGTCAACAACAACACTCAATGGTAAGACCACTTATGGACCGTCGAAAGCCAATCCTAGATAAACTTTCTTTTTTTTTTAACCTGTCACATATGAATATACTCATTACTTATAACTTGCACAAGTTTCATGCCATTATCTCATCATACGTGCCTACTGTATTACTAATAAGTTACCATTTTTCTTTCATCGCTACAGTTCTTCTTTTTCTTCGTATTTTTCTGATTCTCTTTATTTGAACCTTTGACAGGTGAATAAAAACTTGCAAAAGCAATATACAATATGAACTAGAAAAAACGTAATTTTTAATGTCAATCTGAAACATAATAAAGTTGATGATGTAAGTATGAAGAAGGATTTGGATTTGGGTGTGAAGGATAAGTGACTTCAACTATTACTTGTTTTACTTCCGATTTCTTATGAGTCACTTCGCTTCGAAGTGGGAATGATTCATTTCTATACTATATAAGAACTTTTCGACATTACATCAAAGATGAGACAACAATTTTTTTCCGTGAAGGAGAAGTTCTGTTCTATTTGGTCAACGGTCACTATTCACATATTTTATATTATTAATATTTGATATTCACTCACATTACTATGCTATGACGATAAATTTTTGTGTCATGCACTATACGTAATAAAACTGTGACAATGATATATTGAATGCAATGAATAGTTGACACGTCTTTTCCTCTGACTAATTCATTTGCCTATGTTTACAGAATAACAAGAAAAAAAATCCGCTTCGATTCTGCTTCTGAAACAGTTAGTTTCATGGAGTAGATACTCCCGAGTCAGAGCAACCTCTTGTCTGATTCACATTTTCTAGTATTGTTAGATCATTTAGATATAGAAAAAAAACTAATATAATTTACCTTAGAGTGTCAGAAAGTTCATAAAAATAATTTTGTTTATGTCAAACAGTAAAAACTGAATATCCAAAATTGAGTATTTCAAACAATTATTAGAGTTTTTGCAACAAGAGATATTATAGAAATATTATTTATAATTTTACGATCAATGTATTCAATATCGTTTAGAATATAAAATAATATCTCCTGATATAAATGCTTGATTTTTTTTTAAAAATAACGTAAATGCTAAGTTAACGTTAGAAAAATCAAGAAAAATTTCATTAGAATTGAAGTTAATTGTCAAGATTTTATTTTAATTTAGATAATACTCTAGTATCTTATTCAAGCAGCATTTTGAAGGAAAACTCATCAAGATAATGTTGAGGTTGTTATTGTTGATATTAGAAAAATAAAATTAGAAACATTAAGTAAATTATTTATTTGTCAGTCGTATGCTGATACTCTTATTGATATGACAAAAGAAATTAGATGATCACTTCATTATACAAATGACAATTATTCAAATATAAAATCAACTAAAGATTTTATGTCTTCTCGACATTTTCATACAATTGCGCAAATAGATGATTTAATTATTAAAAGTACATCAACTGACGATTTTCAACGTGAACTGTACTTTTAATAAAATCTGCCGTCAACAATTAACCGTTTGAGTCCTGATTTTTTTTTCAAAAATTGAACTTTGTAAAACAAATGATTAATTAGGCTTACAGAGAAATATCTTATTGATGGTTAGACAAATCAAGATGTATGAATTTCTTGAAACGATATATTCAGAAATTTATGTTTAACTCAAAAATGTCTTTTTACACATGTGGAAAATATTCTTGTACAATATAAATGTATTAAAATATTATAAACTTCTATTTTCAAATACAATTATTTCATTTGTTGCAAATATTAGGATTTAATTAACTACGAACGCTGATTTTTTTATATGATATTTTTACAGAATTTATTTCATATAAATAATAATTATTGTTAATATAAATTTTTAGTCAATTTAACGATTTACATTGTGATTTTTCAGTTCAACCAAAAACAAACGTCAAAGATATAAATTATTATGTATTATGAAGTGCTTGTCTTTCAGTGCATTAAAAAGTAACAATTTGTCGCTCTAGAAGATATAATTAAGAGATTATAGTGGTCCACGGACATTTTCTATACATTTTAGTGTTGAAAAATGAATTATGCTTTGAAAAAATGCACTCTTTCATCACTTGTTAACAATTTTTCCTGATTTACAACGGTTTCAAATTACATTTTCTTAGATAATCTGCCGCATGAAACATAATATTATTATTGTTAGAAGTGTAAAGTATTTTTACATTATAATTACTTATAGTACAGCGAAATAGGTAGGTGGAAATAATTTCATTCGTTAGACCTCTTTAATCTACATCGGATAAGAAGATGAAGAAGTTCTTAAAAGAATATAAATTCTTTGTAAATATCAAGTTAAATTTAGGAAACCACCTACAGGGTGGGTGTGAGTATCCGAGAAAAGAAAAAACATTTACACTCGGCTAACTAACATATCTATCCACATCCTCAAATAAATACTAACCGATTCTAATATATATTTATTAATATTTAACGAAATCAATGTCGAATTCATCAATAATTCTCTCCTATCAATTTATAGGAGAAAAAATTACTATTTATTGTGGTTTATTTATTTTAATAACTGGTGTATGTGGTGGTATTTTAAATATTCTTGTTTTTACAACATTAAAAACATTTCGAAATACTTCATGTGTTTTTTATTTAATAACAGCATCAATAGTTGATACTGCTCAATTATTAACATCATTATTAGTTCGTATACTTTCCGTTGGTTTTCTTATTGATCCAACAACAATATCATGGTTTTGTAAAACACGAATGTTTTTTGCACAATTTTCTATACTTGTTGCGCTTGGATGTATGTCATTAGCGACAATTGATCAATTTATATCAATAAATCGTCGGCAATTATGTAGTTTACAATCAGCTCATCGTTATATTTTTATTGCTTGTATTATGGCAATTATACATGCAATTTTCTTTTCTATTTATCATGATACACGATCTAATGTATGCACCATAATTAATCCAAATTTTGCAAAATATTATACTTATGTTTATATTCCAGTTGTTATTGGTATTCTACCTATTATAACAATGATTACATTTGCATCATTAGCTTTTATTAGTATTCGTACAATTGCCAGTTGTAATATTCATATTGAACGTTTAGGACGTGATCGTCAATTAACAGCTATGACATTGATTTATGTTGTATTTATTATAATTTCAAATGTACCAACTATTATTTTTAATATTTATTTAACAACTTCGGTAACAACAGATAAAATTTTACTTGCACGTAATTATCTTATTGTTTCAATTGTAGTTGTTTTTTATTATGTACAGTATGCTGTAAGTTTTCAACTTAGATAAATAGTAAAGGAGAAACATTTGTATTTAATTATAGATTCCATTTTATGTTTTTTGTTGTGTATCAAAAAGATTTCGTAATCAAGTTATTTATGTATTGATTGATGTACATTTCAAGCGATTTCAACAAGCAGCAAATAAACTAAATAATAATCAAGTTACACCTGGAATCGAAATGAATACATTAACAAATGAAAGTACTTAATAAATATCAACATTTAATAATAATTAACATATATGTATATTATTAATTGTCATTTTGTATGTTGTTCGTTGTACTTTCTAAATATATTTAATTCATCTATTATTTATTCGTTTTTAATAATAAGTGAATGTTTATTGAAGGGATACAGTTTTTGAATAGCTAAGATGGACAACTCCAGGGGTACACCATTCTAATTTCACTCCAGTATGATAAGTCGAGTTTGTTTTAATACGATCCACTACTTCTATTATTCAGTTTTATTTTTCTTCAAAAAAAAATACAGAAAGAAGTTATAATTTATTTTGTATCTTTTCGAGGTTTTTTCTCCATTGTTGAAGACCAGGATGGTTTGTTGGTAATGATTGTTGTCCATTTTGTACAGCACGTTCATAAAATGAATGCGCATTCGAATAGTTGCCCATATTCTCATGCACCAGCCCGATGTCATTATAGGAAACACTCAGATCAGAATGATTGGAAGGAAGTGATTGTTGTCGAATTACAAGAGCTTTTTCATGAGACAAAAGTGCTTTCGGATAATCACCCATGCTGTTATACAGATTACCGAAGTTGCTATAGGATTTAGCAAAATCAGGATGATTCGAGGGAAATGATTGTAGTTGAATTGCGAGGGCTTTTTCATAATAAGAAAGTGCTTTTGGATAGTCGCCCATATTGTAATACACTAAACCGATATTGTTGTAGAAACTACCCATATTAGGATGGCTGGAAGGAAGTGACTGTTGTTGAATTCCAAGAAATTTCTCATAATAAGAAAGTGCTCTTGGATAATCACCAATCTTGGAATACAACAACCCGATGTTGTTACAGAAAGTACCCAAATCAGGATGAGTGGAAGGAAGTGACTGTTGTATAATTGCAAGATCTTTCTCATAATACGAAAGTGCTTTTGGATAATCACCCATTTTGTCATACACCACACCAATGTTGTTATAGGACATACCCAAATCATAATGATTCGACGGAAGCGACTGTAGTCGAATTTCGAGGGCTTTTTCATAATAAGAAAGTGCTTTTGGATAATCACCCATGCTGTAATATACCGTACCGATTCTGTCATAGGAATCCGCGAAACTAGGATGATTGTATGGAAGTGATTTTTCTTCAATTGCAATGGCTTTTTCATGAGATGAAAGTGCTTTTGGATAATCGCCCATGCTGTTATACACATTACCGATGTTGCTATATGAAGTACTCAAATCAGGATGAGTGGAAGGAAGTGATTGCTGTAGAATTGCAAGATCTTTCTCATAATAAGAAAGTGCTTTTGGATAATCACCCATGCTGGTATACACATTACCGATGTTGTTATAGGAAGCACCCAAATCAGGATGATTGGGAGGAAGTGATTCTTGTTGAATTGCAAGGCCTTTTTCATCATAAGAAAGTGCTTTTGGATAATCACCCATTCTGTAATATACAATACCAATTCTGTTATAGGAATCTCCCAAACGAGGATGGTTGGAAGAAAGTATTTGTTGTCGAATTTTAAGAGCTTTTCCATGAGATAAAAGTGCTTCTTCATATTCTCCTTGACTACATTTGATCAAACCCAGTTGATAATAAATCAGTGCTTTGTCGCTCTCATTCGTTGTTTGATGAAGTAAAACTTGGTAAATTTCTTGAGCTTTGGTGAGTTGACCCATTTTAATCAGTAGTAATCCCAATCTATACCATCCTTCTTGATTTGGAAAGGTCTCCTGCCGGATCTGATCAGTGAGAGTGCGAAGATCTTGGTCGTTGTCATTAGTCAGTGTTAAATTCACTTGAAAGAGATGATTATTTTCATCCATTGGTTTAATATCTCCAATACGGAAAACGGTATGCATAGAAAAGAGAACTTCATCTTCTATCTGAAAATGGCTAACACCACTAACAGAAGCAAATGGAGTTGTTGAATCAATTGAATTAATGGATATAACAAATAAAATTCCAACAAGATTAAGATTTGCAGCAGCTTGTGGTACAAATAAGAGAGAAACATCACGATTTGTACTAGTGGATAAAAAGTTATTAAATGAAAGAAGTCCACCTTTAGTTTTTGTCATTTCAGTGAAAGCGTCTTTTGAAAGACATTGTCCACGATAAACTATAAATGTTTTACCAAATTGTTGACCAGGAAATTGTTCCGAATGGAGTCGTTGAATATCACGATGTAGATCACTAATAAAGAAACCCATTCGAACAATAATATCAACATCCATCGATCTTAATGCTTGGTTGAGCATCGAATATAAAAAACATTGATAAGTATACCACCAAATAGGTATATGATTATGATAGTCACGTTCGAATTCTTCAATATTTTGTAATCTACGCTCATTTTCGACAAATGCTTCACGACAATAAGTAATAAATTCTTTAATATGTTTATCTTCGAAATCGATGGTTAATAAGATCTCTTTCAAGATCTGAGTATACATAAATGATGGATCTAATTGATCCAACTTTTTGTTTGACGCCACAAAGCTGATGGAGATGGCATTTTGCTCACATTGATGAGCAGTTTGTTTAAGAGCATCACAGATTGATGTTATATCTGTGAAGACTCCTTTTATTTTAGGCCATTCTTTGGTCCATTGTTGATGGCATTCTTGATTGTTACAAAAAATAAAAATGTTATCCACTTGGGACATGTCATGCACATGACGCATAATATATTTTCCAAGTGACCCGGAGACAATCATGCATACTTTGTTATTGGTAATGGTTTGAATAAATTCAATGCATTCTTCACCATCTGTAAACGTGTTTATGTTGTTAACAACGTGTTTCAATTGTTTGATTGTGTTATCACAATCAGCATTATTTTTATTAATATTGTTGTCCAACCAAATAAGGAAGACATTTTGCATTCTTTGCATGTTAATACGCCGATTGGCAACTGCATCCTTGCAAAAGTTTGATACGTGTTTAGCACTAGCTTGTGTATTGATTTGAACAGATGTTATCGATTTGTTGTTCGCCATTATTTGTGGTAACGTAGACTACATAAAGAAGAAATGTTTATAAATGACTGAGAGTAATGTGTCATTCTATAGTATGAGAGTAATGTGTCACTCTATAGTATGAGAGTAATGTGTCATTCTATAGTATAAGAATTTTCTTTCGAGATCGTTCTTCTTATCATCATTTGAAAGTGGGCGTGGGTGAGGGTGTGGGTCTGGGCAGGTGTGGGTGTGAGTGTTGACGTTACATCTATTTGTCTCCCATATCGACAACCACACTCACACTTCGCACCGCATTAAAAAAAGGAAGAAAACTCGCGAAGGACTATATATATTCGCATTGCATCAAATATATAAGCAGTCCTACTTTACAATGATAGCTCTACCATAAAAAGGTAAATTTATTTTATCTCTCTTCAATAAATTGAATGAAATAGTTATTTTAGCGACGATAAAAACAAAAAATACCACAAATTAGAATAAAGAAATATACTTCATCATTTTATTCTATGAGAATATATTCAGATGTCGATAATCAACAACTATATTAACGCTTATATTCATATTATCAAGCGCATATTTACTATTTACAATAAATAATATGCTTTCATTATTTTTTATATTGATTGGAATTATTTTCGGTCATTTAAATGATCCATTGTTTTTCCTAGTGGTTATTCATATTATCTTCTAGTAAAACTACCAACAAATTGGATAAATGGATCAGTTAATTGCTTTGATCGGGGGTGCTAAACGATCTGATTTAGATATATTTCCTATTAATAATGGGTGTGGGTGTAGGTGTGAGTGAGAAGTAGATGTAATATCAACATTCGCACCCATATCCACACCCACCCTCAACAATGGATAAATAAGAGTCATTCCGAACCATGACCATATATTGAAACTTATTGTCTATACAAACTCATCTCATCATTCATTCTCATCATTGAGATAGACGAAGGTAGAATTCAAAATTGATAGGAAAATGAATAGGATTTATATATATGTATTCATATATGAAAATATTAACTCTTTTCCACAATTAATTTCATATATTTATGTATGTATATATATAGGTGTCTATTGATTTAATATGGATGAGTTTATCAATGACATACAGTATTCTTTCATATTGGAACAGAAAGAATAATTCATTCTACTGATAAAACACACTTTTCTCTTATATTCTATTTTTCTATTGAGTATGTTACTGAATACCACGAAACTCTACTTGTTCAGACATAATAATGAAATCGTGAAGGTCTTCTCTACAATACATATCTTTTCAACATGTATTGTTTACTGTACCGGTGAATGTTACTGCTCATACCGTGTTTTCAACAAGAACAAAGTTGGAATAGACACATTTTCGTTTTCATCAGTTTTATTTTAGTTTAAGAAAAAATAACAGAAAGAAATTATAATTTATTTTGTATGTTTTCGAGATTTTTTCTCCATTGTTGAAGACCAGGATGACTTGTTGGTAATGATTGTTGTCCAATTTGTACAGCACGTTCATAAAATGAATGCGCATTCGAATAGTTGCCCATATTCTCATGCACCAACCCGATGTCATTATAGCAAACACTCAAATCAGAATGATTGGAAGGAAGTGATTGTTGTCGAATTCCAAGAGCTTTTTCATGAGACAAAAGTGCTTTTGGATAATCACCCATGCTGTTATACAGTTTACCGAAGTTGTTATAGGATTTAGCAAAATCAGGATGATTCGAGGGAAATGACTGTACTTGAATTGCAAGAGCTTTTTCATAATAAGACAGTGCTTTTGGGTAGTCACCCATATTGTAATACACTAAACCGATATTGTTATAGAAACTACCCATATTCGGATGGTTGGAAGGAAGTGACTGTTGTTGAATTGCAAGGAATTTCTCATAATAAGAAAGTGCTTTTGGATAATCACCAATCATGGAATACAACAACCCGATGTTGTTACAGAAAATACCCACATCAGGATGATTTGGAGGAAGTGATTGTTGTAGAATTGCAAGATCTTTCTCATAATACGAAAGTGCTTTTGGATAATCACCCATTTTGTCATACACCACACCAATGTTGTTATAGGACATACCCAAATCATAATGATTCGACGGAAGCGACTGTAGTCGAATTTCGAGGGCTTTCTCAAGAGATAAAAGTGCTTTTGGATAATCACCCATGCAGTGATATGCAATACCGATGTTGTCATAGGAAGTACCCAAATCCAGATGATCCGATGGAAGTGATTGTAGTTGAATGTCGAGTGCTTTTTCATAGTAAGAAAGTGCTTTTGGATAATCACCCATGTTTTTATACACCAAACCGATTGTATTATAGGACTCTCCCAAATCAGGATGACTGGAAGGAAGTAACTGTTGTCGAATTTTAAGAGCTTTTTCATGAGATGAAAGTGCTTCTTGATATTCTCCTCGATTATATTTAATGCAACCTAGTTGATAATAAATCGGTGCCTTGTCACTCTCATTTGTTGTTTGATGAAGTAAAACTTCATAAATTTCTTGAGCTTTGTTAAACTGGCCCATTTTAATTAGCAATGATCCTAATCTGTGCCATCCTGTCGAATCTGAAAAGGTCTCTTGTCGTATGTGCTCAGTGAGAATACGAAGATCTGGATCGTTGTCATTGGTCAATGTTAAATTCACTTGAAAGAGATTATTATTCTCATCCATTGGTTTAATATCTTCAACGCGAAAAATAGTATGCATTGAGAAGAGAACTTCATCTTCACAATGAAAATAACTAACATCACTAACAGACGCAAATGGAGTTGTTGATTTCGTAGGGTTAATGGATATAATAAAGAGAATTCCAACAAGATCAGGATTTGTAACAGGTTGTGATGCGAAACAGAGAGAAACAGCACGATTTGTACTAGTGGATAAAAAGTTATTAAATGAAAGAAGTCCACCTTTAGTTTTTGTCATTTCAGTGAAAGCGTCTTTTGAAAGACATTGTCCACGATAAACTATAAATGTTTTACCAAATTGTTGACCAAGAAGTTGTTCCGAATGAAGTTGTTGAATATCACGATGTAGATCACTAATAAAGAAACCCATTCGAACAATAATATCAACATCCATTGATCTTAATGCTTGATTGAGCATCGAATATAAAAAACATTGATAAGTATACCACCAAATAGGTATATGATTATGATAGTCACGTTCGAATTCTTCAATATTTTGTAATTTACGTTCATTTTCGACAAATGCTTCACGACAATAAGTAATAAATTCTTTAATATGTTCATCTTTGAAGTCAATGGTTAGCAGGATCTCTTTCAAGATCTGGGTATACATAAATGATGGATCCAATTGATCCAGCTTTTTGTTTGACGCCACAAAGCTGATGGAGATGGCATTTTGCTCACATTGATGAGCAGTTTGTTTAAGAGCATCACAGATTGATGTTATATCTGTGAAGACTCCTTTTATTTTAGGCCATTCTTTAGTCCATTGTTTGTGGCATTCTTGATTGTTACAAAAAATAAAAATGGTACCCACTTGGGACATGTCATGCACATGACGCATAATATATTTTCCAAGTGACCCAGAGACAATCATGCACACTTTGTTATCGGTAATGGTTTGAATAAATTCAATGCATTCTTCACCATCTGTAAACGTGTTTATGTTGTTAACAACACGTTTCAGTTGCTTGATCGTATTACTACAATCAGTATTCTTTTCATTGATACTGTTGTCTAACCAAATCACAAGGACATTTTGCATTCTTTGCATATTCATACGTCGATTTGTAGTAAAACGCGTGCAGAGACCAGATGATGGGTTAGTTGTTTCTGTGCCACTTGATTCGTTGGTTGCCATTGATTCTGATTATTTGCTACGTGTACTAAGAATGTGCTATATTTGAGTACCTTGAAAAACTTTGCAGGTGAAAAAATGATTAAAGTAGCTCATTTTATAGTGCCTTTACTTTCTATTTACATTTTCTTTTTCTTTTTTTTTGCATTGGACGACAACGTCTTTTTCATTAAAAATTATAGATGTTTATTATGAAGCCAAATAAAGATCAATACACACACATTTCTCATTAATAATCAGAGAACAAAAACGAAATGCTTGAGTGTTTGTACACTTGTCAGCCATCAAAGTAATCCGCGACAAGAAATATTACTATGTGTATTGACGAAGAGAAAATCAATCTCTAGGGTTGTTTTCTTTTTGTTTTCATGTCTCATGTTATTGAAGACCCGAAAGCTGAAATTGATTACATTATCGCAGACATTATAGCTTGTAAAAATTAACAAAATATTGCTGTTCAAACATAAAACACTTATATTTCTTGCTTTCTTTCTATGGCCAAATATATGAAATACAGAGGAAATTATTTAAATTAGTATTTATTTAGCGTTCTTATAAATTTTATTTTTTCTTGTAACTACTCAACAACAACATACGAAATATTATGCAGTGATATATAAAAACATTGAAAAGAGAACAGTATAATCATTACTCTGCCAACTGGGCAAATAGAACTGGTAAAATAGACTTGTGTTGTACATCATTTTCTATAATATTTGTAGTAGAAGTGACCGAAAATGAAGTGAAACATAAGTATATAATGAAAGAAACGGACAACAGATAAGTTTTATCGGAAAATCAAGTTTATCTATTGTTTTTTTAATATAGAAACGGGCTGCGAGACTTGATATTGTTTTTTTCTCCCATTTTTGGATAATTAAAACGAAAACAAAACGTAAAAGTTATGCGCCATCTTCTTTCAGCAAATATTTCATAGCTGAAAGTGCAACTGATGATTGATAATGAATCAGTTAGATAACTAAATAATAAACCATCAGTATACTTCCAACATATACTAGTTAAAATTCTTAATTTAAATGAATTTATTTATTGAATTTATAGTGCTACTTGTACTTTAACGGTACATTGATTTGACTCCATTTTAGAATTAGTGTGAAAACTTTGAAATCGTGATTTTGCCATCGAGTGTCGCGTCGCATATTTATAGTCGAGTTTCTCTCGATATTTCCATCTTACATTTTTGAACCATTATTTTCTGGGTTTTCGTTCGCAAACTTTTCGCGACACTCATACGTCAAAAGAGTAAAAGACTCACGCAGGACTTCATAAATACTCTGCTTCGCATCTTCTTGTATTGATCAACTTAGAAATCATTTATCTCTAAATCGAATAAATCAATGACTTCGATCAAAATTTACTATTCCTCCAGTACAATTACACATTACTAGGTATATAACTTCAAAATAAAATTAATTTATGAAGAAATGTTAATTAATTTTATTTCTGAATGTTTAATTTTATTATTACGTCTCGCTATTTATGTTTTTATCAAGCACTTCTTACTATCTTCTTTTTAGTAGATAATTTTAGTTTCCTTATTTAATATTAAAATTAGCTGAATCTAAAATAAAAGATTATATGAAATATTAGTTGATAGAGAAAGATTAATTAACATTATAGTATCCGATACGAGCTAATTCATATATGTATATGTCGATACAGATCATAACATGGATTTGAATACTTTAGTAAAACTACTTGGTTAAATCAGATTCTAATGTTTTGACTGAATATGCATTATAGTATATGATCACCATCTATTAGAAAACTTCATATTCATACCGGTCAACTCTGATATAAGAAAGTGAAGATGTGTTATTAAGTTTTTATCACAATAGTTTCTTTAATCCACAGATTCAATTTATATATTACCGATTATGGTATATCTGTTTACTTTAGTTATGTTGTGTGATGTACAACACTCGATTAAATCAAAAGAAAAGTATATGTTATACAATTACAGTTAATGAATAAATACCCCTGAAGTCTTCCATTTCTTTTCTTGTCTTTCAAATACTTTCAATTATTAATATTATACAATAATTTATGTTTCTTTCATGCACTTGATAAATTACTTATGTAATTATGATGATATATTTTACAAATAGAAATTATTTTCTAGTAAAAAATCTTACATAAGTTGCTAAACAAAATAAGCTTTCCATCTTTTCATAATGCATAGAATATTATGACCTTCAAGATAATCTCTTCTTCATTAACGTAAAAGAGATTCAACTTTCTTCTATTCTAGCATCTAAATTAATAAAGATCAAGTCTATATTCAACGCCATCTACTTTTATTTATAAATAAAATCTTAATTGAGGTAATAAATGAATTTCTATTCGTTAGTTTCAATATATAAAGTGTCAATTAATAAATCAATGAATAATTGTCGATTTGTTCTTTATTTTAACTTTTATTTATAATTATAATGGCATCGAACTCGTACGTAAGCAATCTATTATTTTCTCTAAACAATTTACAAAAATATTCTCTTCTGGAAGATCAACTTGGCTTCGACCACTTGATCGAAATGAAACTGCATGTCTTCAAAAAGGCTACAAACCAATACGTCTTGTCTATACTGAACAACCATTAACTGCACGAATACTTGTTGATGGTTCAAAAGTATAAATAAATGTTTTTTTCTAGTTGAAATTTCTTACTTTTTCTTTTATTAGACATTACCAATTGAGGATTTAATACGTGAATTTTTTTCTTTACATCGTATGCTTTTATCCAAAACTTGTCTTGATGATATTGATATATGTCTTCTTCCACATTGTGATATACGTGAAATAACTTTAAATCAATTAACGAAATTAAATGGTCATCAAGAACCTGTTCTTCTTCTAACAGCACGTTCAAACAGTGAATATTTACTTGTACGTGATCTTGAAGAATTAACATTTCGACAACAAACTGGTTTAAATGTTGATATTTCTGTTTTAAACCAAATTAAACAAGATAATGAACGTTTACATGAAGAAAATCATCAACAACAAGAACGTATTCTTGAATTAGAAAAACAAATCAATGATTTTCTAATAATTCGTGATGAAATGAAACAATTATGTAAAGAATATAAAAAAGATTTAAAGAAAACTCTAGATAAAAATAATGAATATTATAAAAAATTCGAACGTTTAGATCAAAAATTAAATAATCCATTATCTCATGAACAAAATGCTCTTATTTCAACAAGATTAAAAAATGAATAAAAAGAATCGTTGTTGTTGTTGTTGTTTTTTTCTGTTTTCTTATTCTAGATTAAGAATATATTTTGGTAATATTTTCATTCATTCATCGATAGTATTACATCAGCTTTTGTATTACATAATCATCGGGTTCGTGTTGGCATTGTTATTAGTCAGATGAAATTCTATAAAATCTTTTAATCTGCTAGTTAAATTTTTCTTCAGGTGCTAATCCGTCTTAGTTCATTACTTTAATGATGAATTTTGATATATAATTGGTTTATTCCGATATGTAAGTAATGAATTGATAAAATATTTATCTATATTAAAAACTCATTTCCTATTCTAGGCATCAAATAGTAATAGTGTCAACATTTTATTTAAGAACATTATTCAACGTTATTTAAATAATCATATGTTAATTCAAGTTTTCTTTTTTTTTTCGTATATTTTCATACATGAATAATAACTTTTTCTTGTTGATATGCTCAGTCAAACTATATGTAAATATAAAGTAACACATAAATCTGTTAACATACTTAAAATTTATCTTATGATAAGACAAATTTGTTAAAATATTATCATTTTGTCTAAATGACAGATTAAAAATCGTGTCATAATATTATGTTATGTATTGATTTAACTATAAAAAGAAAATGACAAGGACAATGTGAATAAAGAATCAGTACGAATGATCATTAATATCAAGTAAGTTTTTTGTTGAATAAAAAGCAATAGTTTCATTGATTATATGATGACTTTCTCTTTTTTTTTGTGCATATGAATTTGTTTGTTAAGAGTAGGAAAAAAATTGAATTTCAATTTGTATAAGAGTAACGACCGGGAAAGAAAAGAAATGAAATGAAATGAAATAAGTATAACACAAAAGAAAATATTTGTCAAGTAAATAGAAGAATAAAAGGAGAGAAAATTCAGTTTTTATAAATCTCGATCTCTTGTATTACTTGTCATTATTTAACAATAATGTCCTTGTCGTGTTTTTAAGTATACAGTTATTGAATACTATCAACCGCAAGTCATGTATGAAACATTCTTCTATGAGCAACGAATACATCTTATATTTTATCATTATTGTCGACATTTTAATCCATAAATGATATAACTATTCAGGTTGTCCGTCTGTTGACCGATAGTGACAATCGACACTTTGCATGTCTCTGTCTAGCTTACTATCGTCATCACCGTCTTTTTATCGTTCAATGGATCAGACTACCATAAAGAGGAAGAAAGAGAGAGAGACAGAGAGAAAGAAAGACAGAAAGGAAAAGTATATTCGTTCTCTTCCTTCTTTTTTCTTTTTTTTTACTAGAAGCAGGTATAGTAAGGTAAGAGTAGGCCTCACGGAACACACAATAATAAAAAAAGAGCTGTATGAGCGTTGTCGTCTCTCATTCTCTGTAGTAGTTGAAACCACACGAGCTCTACCCTTTTTTTTTCTTCTCTTTTCAATTTCTTGTGTAAAAGGATCCAGTAATAATGGTTTCACGTCTGTTCTTTGATGCACACATTCACATCTATAATATACATACATATATAGAGCACAGACCTATTAACTAGACGTGTAAGTATGTAATAGTATCGGTACGAACAATCTATAATTATAAATCGCACAATTCTTCTATGTTCTATGCACCTGCATATTTTATACAAATACACATATGTGTGTATTTATTTGGATGACAGCACATATAAAACAATATTTGATTGCTTCTTGTTGAGTGATTCGTGTTCAATGGGCGATATACCATTCAACATTATGCCATCTCATTTCTCATTCTTTAATCTAGTATACTTATTGTAAAGAACATAAATTGTAGGTGATCTTCTTTTTGATAATATCTTTACAAGTAATAGAATAAATGTATATGTGTATTTACATATTGAACTTCTTTCTTCCCCTTCCTTTTCTGTTAAATCTACCCTTTACCCCAATAGTAAATTATGTTGATTCAATGTTAAAAAAAAGAGAAAGAATCGACGACGAGCAGGTACATATTACATCAACTAAAACACACGTATAATAATAATAGATGTTATTCTTAGAAAAGAATGTTCATAATTAGCTCAGAGCTAGATGGCATGTTTTATGTAATGAACAATTATTTGTGATTATTTGTAGAATGCACCTTCCTTCTTCCGTGCGTGATCGTTCTTTTTATGCCAAATTCTACAGTCGTCATCCATCAGAAATAGAAATAATCGATAAAATACAATCTTCTTCTTCTTCTACTACTACTCTAAGAACATTATCAGAAAGTCCAACAACAATAACACCAATATCAGATGTAATATCAAGTACTACTTCAGGCTTTTTTTCATCATCTGATTGTTCATCATCTGAATCAACAAGCTCATATACAAAACGTCGACGTACAACAGCACCTATTATACAAGAACGTTTAAATACTTACGAGTCAGCTTGTACTCGCCCAAGTTTACCATTACCATCATTACTTACATGTAAACTAAAAACTCAATCTATTTCTACACTAACTTCTTCGTCTCTAGTCAATCAAACTATACCACAACACATACCACCGAAACAAACAAAAACATTATTAAAAAATACATCCAGTTTAATCGATAACGATACAACAAAATCTATCTTAATTATACAAGATAAATCATCATCATCATCGTCATCGTCATCTTCATCATCATCATTTTCAAATTCGATGATAAACGAGAAATCAATTTCATTAGATTCATCTAAACGATATTTATCAAAATCAACAAGTCAACTTTGTGATCCATCATTAAATAATATCAAAGAAGATCAAGTATCTTCTGCATCATCAAGAAATATTCTCGATGTAATACAAGAAGAACTAGTAAGTTCAGTGACATTTTTACAAAAAAAAAACAAACATTATTTTTTCTAGTCTGAAATTCGTCGTGCTGATCATGATTTAAAAAATATGTTTCTTTCTATTTATGGTAAAATTCAAAATATTCAACAGTTAAAATCAACAACAGTTCATCAACCTAAAGGTCAACGACACCATTATCTTCGTACTGAAAGACCTTCACGTTTAATAACACACTGTTGTTATTCGAGTAATAGTGATATTCGTCGATTGAGTTGTACTCATCATCATCATAATCGAAAATATCCATTTCATACACTACTTGCATTACGAAATCGAATGAATACTTTACGAGTATCATCATCAACAGCCGATAATGATAGTTATGTTGATACAGATTCATCGTCTTCCTCATCTGATAGTAGGACACGTAGTTCATCAGTTGATAATGAATGTTGTGGTAATACATGAAAGAAATAATAAAAAAATCATTTTGCTTGTTTATTCATATGTTTTTCAAAGAAAAAAATAATATATATATATATACGTATACAAAGAGTAAATTAAAAAATATATTAGTCTGTAGATGTTTTTTCAAAATTCATACGAATATGTATATCACCACGACTGCCAAAACCGAGAAAACCAGGTAATTTTACCCAATCATCATAATGTCCTTTTTTAATAACATCATCAAGACTAACTTTTGCTGAACCAATTACATCAGGTTTTTTGCCTTCATCTTCATCATACACATCTATGTGAACATATTCATTACTTGGCCATATATCGCTAAATATAAATATAAGATTTGAATAAAAAAAGGAAGCAAAAAAAAAGAAAAATTTATTACATACAAATCAAATGTTTCATTCCAGATGGGTCGTTCGACGTTTTGAAGTGTTCTAGTTTTATATTTCTTTTTCTCATCTATATATACTTCGACATAAGGATCATTAAAGTCTGTTTTATCTTTATCAGCAAGTTTTGCTGCTTCGACTATAGTTACACGAAGATGCCCTTGAGCCATAAAATGTGTGCGTTTATTTTCGTTCCGTAAGTAAAGTACAAAAAATTTGAAGTGAAAAAGTATAGCTTACCTTTTCTTTATATACAAAAAAATTGTATAGCTTATTCAGATGTAACTAATCATATTTTGACTAAATATTTTCATATAATGAGAAAAAACGAATACAATGAAATAGAAATTTTCTTACGCTTAAAATATATTTATTTTGTTTGTCAATATACAGATGTCAGTGATTTCTAGCGAAATAATAAACGTTAAAACATTTCTTCTTATTTCTTATCTTCTAGTTCAAATGTTTCTTTTACACTTCGTTGGCATCGTTTTTTGATTAGCCTATTGATAATCAATGAAGAAAGACGGCATTACACTATATTAATTTATTACTAATGCTCGATTGAATTCTTTGATATCATTTTCCAACTGACGTCCTAACGTCGTTTGTATGACTTCAAGATTTTTAATATAATTTACTATCACCAGTTGGCTGTAATCATATGCATGATCTAACATTTGTTATTCTTTGATAATTCATCTATCTATCATCAGTAGTCATCAGTATAAAGGGAGGGAAATATAATTAAATTGAATATTTTCATTATGACTTGGTTAGAAACCTTACCTGATGAATGGTGGAATCAATATCGATCTATATTATTTTCATCTCAATGTATTCATGAACTCAATAATGAACTTATATTTATTGTTCGAAGTCTAATTATTGAAACACGTACTTATGCACGTGCTTGTAAACGTTCTCGTCTTCTTGTTAATGATTTTCGTTATGCACTTGATAGCCGAAATATTCAACAATCTGTGAATCTAACAGAAAACGACAAAAATATAATCTCTGTATCATCAATTATTGATCAAACTGATCAATTATTATCTAAATTCAATAGACTTGAACTTACAATTCATTGGCTTGCTATTGATGGAGAACAACCGATTATCCCCGAAAATCCATCTCCAAATTTTATTGAAGAAAAGCAACATAAGATCAATAATAAAAAGATAGTACCATCTCAATTAACTAATACATCTCCTTTATTACAAAAACTTTTTGAATTGTCAACTTCTATTCAAATAAAGTAATACAATAATATTATTTATTATCTTAAAAGATTGAATCTTTATTCTATAGAGATAATCAACTTGAAGAACATATTCATCCATTAACAAAGAATAATTTAATTACTAAACCAAATTATCCTATAAATCGTTCGAATATAAATAATCCTATATCATCTCAATCATGTCTGGCACATGAATTAAGTTTAGAACAACAAATATATTTTAAAAACTTGACTGAATCATGTTTTAATGAAACAGATAAACAACAAATTGATACGTTTCCTTGTCTTTCAACAGATGCTGCTTTACAACCACTTGTACCTCGTCTTCTTCTATTTATTGCCAAAGGTATTGAAACAAATATTCATCTACATGATTTAAATTTAATTCTTCGATGTTTATCAATATTAAAAATACTTACCACGAATAGATTCATTTCATTTGATAAATATCTCCATTCAATCATTCCATCATTATTAACTTGTCTTATATGTATATTTGATATGACAAAATCTAATTCTTCGCTTTCCACAATAACTCAAAATAATTATTCATCAATATGGCTCATGCGAGAACAAGCTAGTGATCTAATATCTGATTTTAATAATAAATATTCAACAATTCCTTATCTTACGGAACGAATTGTTTCTATTATTAAATCAACTTTAATTAATAATGACATTATAATTACCTTCTCTATTGTTTATGCATGTATACGAACATTACTTTTAATCGATGTTGAAATATACGGTTCAATTATAAAAGATATGCTACGAAATTATAAGAAATTAGAATCAGATTTTGATCTTGATTCTATTGAACAGCAGACAATATTCAATCAGAAAATCAATGAATTAATCCAAAAATATAATTTAATTCTAGAAGATATTTAATTACTATTTTAATTTATGTACTCCACTAAAAAAAGTTTCATTATATCTGATAAGTTCCAGAGAAAAATAAAAATCATATAATATTATTCTAAGATAAATATTTATAGAATAAAATAGTACTTGTGATTTTTTCTATTGATTTATATTCTTTTCATCAGTCAATCACGAAAATATCAAAAAAAAACGGAATAGAAGGTGGTATTAAGACGTTTGCTGTCGTTCTCTTACTTTTTCATACTTCAAAAATTGTCATGTAGTCAATACGAGAAATAAAACCTCGAAGGTGGGACTCTATTTGCAATCTGTCTACTATGCCACCCCCGTTATTCATATGTATATAAATAGGAGATTGAACTATTCTAATCGTAATATAGATAATCGTCTTTAATATGATGAATTCAAGATATGCTTCACAAATTGAATCAAAACTTGTAAATATTAATCGATCTCTGCATAAACTTCGTCATCATCTGAGAATTGGTGATAATGGTTTGATTCGACTAGAAATGGAACATTTTATGAATTTAATAACTGAATTTAATAGAATACTATCAAATTTGGAAATGATTGGTCGACAACCTGAAGAAATACTAACTTTAAATAATATAACAAATTATTATGATGGTATTCATCTAACATTGTATAGCTAGTTCGATATTATATTGTTCTTTATTGTTTTATAATAAATTTTTCTTAAGATGACTCACTTTTTTATCAATATTACAAAGAAAAAATAAAATAAATAAATACATAGATGCTCTAAATGACATAAAAAACGTTTTTTTTCTCTTGAATAATATGTTTTTTCATCAATTAATTTGACATTCGATGTCCGATGACAAACCCAAGTAAAGCAACAAAAAGAACAATAAATGCTGCAAAAAATAGATTAGGCCCATGATTAAAATTTTGATGATAGGTAAGCATTGATTGACGTCGTGCACCGATTGCTTTTAAATATGATGGATCATCTGGTGAAATATTTCTAAAAATAATACGTTCTTGTTTCGATGCATTATTAGTTAAATCTTGTGATGGTATCAAAGCAATTACAATATCTTTTGTTGAATGTGCTGGTGGATGAAACCATTGAAGAAGTACAACCATAATTAAAACTATTGCTAATGATAATGCAAGAATATTAACACATCGAGCAACAAGTTGATATTCTTTTTTTGCAATACCAGAATATTCAATTTGTACTTGACCAATAATAAGAATAACAAACATAAATAATGAAAGAATTAAACAGAGTACAGTTCCTGTTGGTATTAATTTAAAAAGACATGAAAAAGCTCGTTCAGAATGTAATAATGAATGACATTCAAATGTATTTCCATAACGTATACACCAAGCTGGAAGAGATCCACCGACAATAATTAAAACAAGTGATATTGAAACAAGACCAGCTAAACATATTAGATGGTAATGAGTTAAGCAATCTCGTGGACGTAGCCCCATGTTTGATGTATCTAACTTGTTGGTAATATTTTTATATTATATCCCACAGATTATCAAACGCGAATGTTATTAAGCGTGAGAGAATGTTTCTCCTTATCAATAGAAGAAGAGAGAAAAAAAATTATTCATTCATGTGGGGGTGAGAATCTTGAATTTATTTTATTTATATTATAGTTTAAAACATATGGTATTTTTGCAATTGTATATATGATAAAAAATGATTTTATTTGTCGGTAAGAAACTATTTATTTAAAAAAAAGAAAATGAAAAACTTGCTCGTGTTTACTATATGCAAACGTAGACAAAAAAGATAAAGTAAAAATTATTTTCTCTAATGTCGATTTACGATGGATGTTTGTTTATTTTTTAATTTAAAAATGATTTTCTTTGTTAATAGTTAGTTGCTTCTCATTTTGTTCATCGGTTACACTTGTAATCATTGTTGAAAGTAAAATTGATTGTAAAAATGATACATGATCTTGTTGTTGTTGTTGTGTACGAATTTCATTCGTTTCATCTTTATTTACATCATGATCATTTCGTAATGTCCTTGAATAAGAGAAAAAAACACAACAACATGATTTTAGTCTTTTTTTGGATAATTCATCAAAAATTTGAATATACGTACTTGCCGAGTAACGATCGTGGATCATATTCACGATAAGATTGTTGAGAATTTTTAGAAAAAGAATGAGATATATTACTGTTTCCTACTACTGAATCATTTGGAACAATTCCAGTTAGAAAATTTGGATTATTGAATGCTGGTTGTAAAGCTGGGAAATGTTGTTGCCATAATTGATAATCATATCCCGATGGATGAGTTATAATCACTGGTTGTGAAGATGACTGTTGTTGTTGTTGAGCATGACTAGATCGTTTTTGTTTAGCGTTCAATAGCGTTGATCTAAATAGAATATTTTTTTAAAAGAAAATTTTGCTAAAACTAAATATACTTTATCTGAACTATTGATTCATTATTTTCTATTTGTTGTTGTATACGTGCAAAATCAGATGATGCAGTTGCCGATGATGGAGCATGAATTGGAATAGATGGTGCAAAATAGAATTGACTGTTTGATGAATTAATTGGTGGTGTTGTTGATGATTGTTGATTATTAACAAGTCGTGAAACAAATTCTAGATAAAATGAAATATAATTATAATATAATTATTTATTGATTATATCTTATACCAAGCATTGGATCTTGACTAAAGACAAAAGCAGCATATGGATCATTTGATGCTGTATTTGAATTTAAACTTCCTGCTGATGTACCCGTTGGATTACGAAGTGATGTACCCGAAGCAAATCCAGTGGTTGTACGAGGTACAGCACCATAAGGAAAATTATTGAAATGACCTCGTAAACTTCCTCGTGAACCTCGAATTGCTGTTTGTCTTGAAAGAGGACGTCGTTGTGAATTTGAATTTCCACTTAAAGCTGCAGCATAATCATTTCTAACAACTGCTGCTAATGATGATGCATGTGCAAGTCTTTGACGAGCAGCTTCTTGACGTCGATGTTCTTCTTCAATGAATGCTCGATGTTCAAGATCATATAAATTTGGTTCTTCATCATCTTCATCTTCGTCAGAATCTTCCTTTAAAAATAAATATTTATAGTTTAATTTAAAGACTTCACTTAATAATATTAAATACTTCTTCATTTTCACCATGTCGTGCTTGAGTAGTAGATGATGAAACTAATAGATCTTCATCACCACCACCACCGCCGCCACCGGTTCCATCATCATGTACTGTTGCAATATGATCAGCAAGTAGAACAAAACGAGGTCGATTTCCATGAGATGAAGAAGTTACACAAATAGGACACATCTAAGAATAAAATAAATACAATATTTATTTAATGATCCTATCTAAAGAAATCTATATTCATAATTTTTCTTAAGATATAAATTCTTCGCTAATTTATGTACACGAAAGAAAAGAAAGGAAGGTCTTACATACAACAACTTGACTATTTTTGTTTTGTATTGATGTTGATGAATGTTTTTCAATACAATGTGTAAGTAATGTACGTGGAATAAAACCGGATAGACCACAATGTGGACATGTTAATGAAACAACTGTTCGACGAGAAATAGATTCACCAGCATAAAATAATTCTAAAAATAAAAAAATATTTTCCTAGCAAAATATATATAATTCTTAATATACTAACCAGAAGCTGTTTCAGTTAGTATACATTGCATTGGATGATCATTTTTATGATTTTGACTTTCAGCTTCAATATCATAACATGAACCACAAAGATCATAATTATCACATAATAAACATTTATAACGACGACCGGGAAAATTTGTTTTCATACATGAATCACATGAAACACCTAGATAAATAATATGAAAAAACTTTGTTTTTATTAATAATGATATCTACCATTATGTGAAGTCATTATTTAAAAATATCTAGAAACACATTGAAGATAAATATTTGGAAAAAGAACAAAAAGTAAACGAAACAAACGACAAAGATAGATTTATTGCAGAAAAAAAAAAATAGAATGATAAATAACGTTGAATGGACTAGATTGAATTTTTTTAAATAAGATAAAGAGATAAAATCAAACACTGTTTTTCAAATATGTTCGTAATCGTGATCATTTTTACGAGCTGTTGATGAACCATCGGCTAGAAATGATTCAAGATCATCATCAGCATCATCATTATTTGCCGTTGGTGATTCCGTAATAGTATTAGCAGTTTTTAAAGATGAAGATTTCTTTTTCTTTTTTATTTTCGTTGTATCAACTGTTACATTAGTTTCTTCCTTAAAATGAAAATATAGATATTTTTCTTATGTGTTTATTTTTAATTTAATTAATCGAACTTTTTTCGATTTTACTGTTGTCTTTTTTTTCTTTGGTTTCGTTATAGTTGAATCACTATGAATACTTTGTGAATCTATTAAAAAATAAATGTATTAGAACATAAATCATCCAATTAATAAAAAAATATTACCAGGTGTCTGTATTTCATTATTCAGTTTTGTTGATTTCGATGAAGATAGATGATCAAGAAAATCAAGGTCATATGAAGATATTTGATGATAGATGGGTGGCGGTAATGGTGTTGATAACGATTCAGGTACCTAGAAAAATATAATGATTGATTTAATATATCATACAAAAAATAATAAATATGTTTACAGTTTCAATACTTGGTGATGGAGGTTCATATTCGGTCGGATCATTATCACTAAAAATAAATTTAGAAATGATACTTGATTTTTATTCATCATAAATAACTTACACAATTGCTTGTTGTTGATGTTGTTCATCATCGGAATCTAATTGTTCGCGAAAGCCTTTAACCATTGGATTTATTGATAATTCATTTTCGCTAATTAATAATAAAAAAAAACAAGTAAATTTGTTTTTGACAAATTAATATGATTTACTCATCAGTTGTAGAAAGTTTTGTTGCTGATGATCGAAGAAATGGATCAATAGTTATATGTTGTTGTGGTGAAACATTATCATCAACAAGAAATGTTTCATAATCATTATCATCAGGTACAAAATCATCAACTGTTGATGCTACTAATGGATTAGATAAACGTGCTTCAGTATAATCATCTGATGGTAAACGTTTTTCAACAACGTTATCATTATATTCATCATGCGTAGTTGATTTCGGTACAACTAATATTAAGAATAAAGTTTGTTTAATATTAAAGTTCCTCTCTCTCTCTATTTACCTTGTTGAACAATTGGTTGAACAGCAACAATAGGTGGTTTTTGTTTTGTTGTCATTGTTGGTTTAATAGTTGTTGATGAAGTTTCAGTTGTTGTTTTTATAACTTGTACAATTTTATTTAATGATGTTGATGTAGCTTGTTGTTGTTGTTCGGCTAATGCTGCTGCTTGAACTGCTTCATCATGAAGACGTTTTGCTTCTTCTAATGGTTTTGCTTTAGCTAAAACATCCGAAGCAAGTGATTCTTGTTTTGTACGACGTTTATTTGCAAGTATTTCAATAAATAATTCATAATTATTCTCATCACCACGAGCATAAGTATCGATTTCTTCTAATGATGCATCCATATCACGTGCATTTATTTGTAATTGTTGAAGTAGCGATTCACGTTGTAATTGTAAAAATGGAATATTTAAAAATTGATGAATATATTGCAAACCAAATCCATTACGCATAGAACTTTCACAATAACGAACAACCGAACTCATTGCACCTCTTTAAATAAACAAAATAATAAGTAGATGAAACTTTCGATATATATATTATCCTAACCTATTAAGATGTTCAATAAAACTAAGACATTTATCAGTTGGTACTTTTCGATGATGACCCATATCTAATTGATTACCAATAATTAATACTGGAATATGTGCTGGAACTTTAACGATTTCTCTTTCAATATAATCCCATGTCCATGGTTTTGTTATATCAAATATGAATAAAACTCCAGCTGAACTTTTATAAACATCAAGAAATTCAGCATCAAGAGATACTTCACAAACAGCATTCTCAATTGTATTTGATAATTTAAGTGATTTATTAATAGGAGGACATCGTTTTTTTCTTGATTTATCAACAACATCCCATACTTCAACTTTAATTATTGCATCACCACATACACGTGATGACCAATTTATTGTTGCAACACGAATTTCATCTGATGGAATGTAATCTTCAATAAAAGGATAGCCTTGTAATCGAGACCATAATACTGATTTACCAGTATTACATTCACCACGTATGACTAATTTCACTAATAAATAAAAATAAAAATAACATATTTATGGGTAAAAAAACGTCCTTGACTAAAATCATCTCATACTGTTATATTGTACACCTCGAGCATATTTCTTTTGTAACCCTTGACTGAGTGGTTTAAAATTTTCGTTTGATTTCGATGTTGATACGGATGGTTGTGATCCAGTCGAATTTGTTGATGAATGATTAGTATGTGATGAATTATCAGGTATAGATTGATTAGTTTCATTAGTTGTTGATCCATTTGTTGATGATGGATCATTTGTTGTAATCAAACGTTTTAATGCTTGTACAAATGACATCTATTAAATAAATTGAAATTTATTTAAATAGACAATAGAAGAAGAAGAAGAAAAAAAACGAAAGAAAATTATTATTTGATGTTTTCTTTTTCTCATCTTGTCGAGAGAACGTAGAGAAGATCAATGAGATGAAAATGATTCATCGAATATAAAATCTTATCCAAATAATATGAAAGAAAATAGATGGAGATAGTTACCACGAAAATAAATTAAATAAATAAAATTTGTTTTTTTAGGAAGTATGAACTTTATTTGAATCTGTATGAAAAAAAAATTTATAAATTTTTTTCTTTTATTTTGAACAAAAAACTTTATTTTTTTAAAGTTAATGTTTTTGATATATTCCATGCTGTGGTTTAAAATGAAATGGTGTCATGAAAGGTGCTGGTTTGCGTTGCGTATAAGGATAATTTGATTGCATATATAATCGTCGATATCGTTGAAGCGTTGGATTTGAAAATGCACTCGTAATTGGATCTCGAGCTAATACTTTTTGAAGTCCATCGGATAATTTATTTAATACTTCTTGACCATATGTTACCGGTTCTGGAATATTTTTTATCATTGGTATAGGATTCATTATTTGTTGATATTGTGGATATTGTCGTAGTCGTTGATAATATTCATATGTTCTTAATTGTGACCAAAAGCCAACATTGGGTAGCGCTATTTGTCGTTTGTCTTTTACAAGTGCAAATGCTGCAGGTAATGAAAGTTGATGATGTTTTATAAGATAAGCTAAAATAAATGTTATTGAACGTGATCGCCCGTGATGACAATATAAAAGTGTCCGTCGATTTGTTGCCGTATTAGCTGCTATACGATCAGCAACAATATCAAAATATTGCGAAGCTGGAAATGTTGGAATATCTAATATAGGAAATTTTAATGATTCAACACCGGGTGGAAAAATAATATGGGGTAATTCATCGGCTACATTAATTACACAATTAATACCACTTGAAAATATCATTGGATATTGTCGTGCAGTATTTTCAGCAGTAACAAATACATTTGGAGTGATTTGTGATAGGTTATAATCAACTAATACAGGTACTACTGCATTACCAGTTGACATTGTTGAAATCATCGACGCATCTCTCTCTAAAGCCATGTTAAGATAGTTAAATATGCAAACGCAACTAATAACGCAGTAAATGTATATTAAAAAATAAGAACAATTTTGATGATAATGTTTGTGTGATTTATTTCGATTTGAAGGACGAGTAAAAGAAAAAAGGAAGAGTAATTTTACAGGTGAACGCTTGTTTGCCTTTCGTTTCGTGTCTTTACCGTCTTTTATAATTATTTTTACTCTTGGCTACATTTATTATTTGTGATATCTTATCAGTTAAATGTATGTACAACCAGAGTCATCGGACTACCCACTCATGTATTTCGTGCTAATTACTAATTATTTATATATATACGTATATCCGCTACGCTGCTATGTGAAATATTTGATTCGGACATCATCTAGTCAAATGACCGATAAATACGTCATACATAAAAAATCACCATGTTTATTCATTTGGTGCTTGTCAGATGACGCAGATAATCAATTGTATACATCTATGATTTATTCATAAGTATATATTTTTCTTTAGATCATTTTTATAAAAGTCATAGAGCAAATTTAATTAATAGATGTTTTGAAACATTAACGCATTGGTGCTTTCTGTTTTGCGACCATAATAATAAATAGTAGATACGTCTTTAGCATAGCCATTGCCTAATGCAACAAACGTTGCAACCATTAAACCTGGCATTTTTTCACCTTGATAATAGACATGAAATGCATCTTTTGCATAACCATCTTTAAGTGCTTGAAATGAATGTGAATTTGCTCCATCTATAATACGACCAGCAAAATAGACTCGAAAAGGATCACGAGCATAACCACAACCGAGATCTTCACATGCCATAGCAATCATAGAATCAATTCGTTCACCACGATAAAAAGCATGAATACCATCATTGGTATAGCCAGATTCGCTTAACTGACGATGAAACATAGTGTTATATTAACAACGATTGAATTAGTGTACAAACAGAATGTAAAAGTAAATGGAACAAAAAAAAAACTAATATTATTCTTTTTTTATTTTTTTTGTGTTTTTCTTTTTTTTCTTTTCTATTTGATTCGATTCTATAAATAGTAATCCTATCGTTAAAAGTATTTGAAAATAACAATATATTCTAAGTTTTCATATTTTTTGTCAACCGAGGTCAAATACAAAACAGATTAAATAGTAATCAAAAACAAACTACCAAATTGAGCAACACTAATAATTATAGTGTCTCAGGTAAAATATTTTCTCTGAATAATAATAACGTTATTTCTAAAATATTTTCACGCATTAAAACATGTATTTCATGCATTATATAACGAAAATGCAATTGCATATTACGGTATTTTCGAGAAATGTATTAGACATAAAACAGTATAAACAATTATATAATTAATATATTTTTTTTTTATTATTTATTTACATTATTTATCTGTCTTTTTTTTTATTTATATTTGTCCAAAGTATAGACGAAATGTAATGTTTTAAAACGCACCAGAGAGAAACAACAAAAAACAAACGGTAACGACATAAAAATAGGCTGTATTATAATTGATAAAACTTTTTTTTTATTCTCTCATATTAAATTTTCTGGTTTTTTTTTGTATCATTGTCGGACAATAAGACAAAAAAAGAAAGTGATAATAAAACAAAAAAGAAAAATTTTTAAAGATAATAATAATAATAAGTATACATATACACATACATACAAATAAATAATACACAAGTCTGTTTTTTTTTCATTTTCATTTTCATTCGCAATCGATCATTCATCGTCGCTATACAATCACAACAGTTGATAGACAAAATTGGGGGAAAATAATACTGGCTAAAACTATCTAGATCAATTCTGAAGGCGGAATGATCATATATAACCGGATCTATTATTCATATTTACTTGAAAGAACAATACATCTTGACTAGTTATCTTGTTGTTGTTGTTGTTGTTGTTGTGACTGTATTTGTTTTTTTGCTGGTGTATGTAAAGATTTCCATTCATCCCATTCATTATGATAGATGACATCAATTGTTATTGAATTTGGTACAGTAACTTCCGTTGTTGTTATTTCTCCATTTAAATTATATGTATTATATTCATCATATAAACGATAATAATAATCAGTTGCTAATTGTGTTATTAATGTCAAGGTTAAATTACGTTCATGTGCCATTAAACAAACTGTACTACGTTCAATAATTAAACGTAATTGTAATAAATAACGATATTTAGCTGTATCATCATTGGAAAAATGTGATGATAGAAAAGCTAATAATTTATATTCTTGTTCATTTATATCAGCATAATCAATAAAAAATCTTGAACACATAAGTTTTTCCAGTTGCCATGATGCAATACCATTATCATATGGACGATAACCACGTGTTAATAAAAGACAATATTTAAGTAAACCTCCACCACATATACGTTCAGGTGATGTTGTTGCAATAAGACGACGATTAAGATGTGTTAATGCACTTTCAAAACTTCCATAAACACATTCAACTGATATTGTTGGTAAACGATATGAAGATGATACATAACGATTATTTTTTGATGAACGATAATCTAAATAAAAATATTTTCTTTATATTTTATATCAATGATTCATCCAATTAGTTATATTATATTCCATACAATATTTTAAGTACTATTTACTTTGTAATTCATATTATTTATGTTCATAGTTTGCTAGCTTTTATATTCTTCCCGTGGGTTTTTATTAGTTATATTCTTTTTTTTTTCCTTTATCATCTGTAGTGTTAGACTGAGTGGGCTTCTTTTCAACCCACTCTATTTTGCGCACGCGATCAAAATACAAAAGAATAAACACATCTCTTCTCCTACTTTGATTGATAAATAAAAAAATATAGAAGACGAAAATAAGAATCACATCAGTCGATTACAGCTGTTATTTTCTTTTTTTGTTTCTCTTATCAGTCTCAATCTGTTTTATTTTTATTCTTATTCAGCTGATGCTTACCATATTGTTGCTTTGAATGATGATATTGATTGTAATATGCTTGTTTTTTATTAGTTTGTTGTTGATTTTTAAATGTTTGTTCATAATGATCAAGTAATGGATCAAGTAAAATTTGAAATGAATCAACACTAAATTGAAATTGTCTTTTCATTCGATCAACAAATTTTAATTCAATATTTTGTCCATTAACATTACATAAAGACATTAATGCCCATGAATCATTGTTTGATGGATTAATAACACGTACTACTTTTTCTACATATGCTGCTTGAATAATAATAGGTGAAAATGATAATTGAGAAAATGACGATGAGGAAGAACTTGTTGATGATATATGTTGAGATAAACATTCACATACAATAGTTTTTATTTGTGTCCATGTTGATTCAGATGATAAATCACAACGAAATATAAAATCAATATCGGAATATGAAAATGCTTTATCATTTGTTAAAACATAAGATGCGGCACCTAAATATTAATAAAAAAAAAAAAGAAAATAGACATAAAAGATTTTATATTTTAATTACCTCCATTGAGACGCACATCTGTGATATCAATATTATTTATATGAAATGCTCGTCGTAATTCAATTAAAAAATCTTTTGAAACAATATTTAATGTTGGAAAATTTCCTTGACCATGAATTTCAATGGGTTCTTCAAGTATGGAACATAATTTATTTACATGTCGATTTTGTAATGTTGAACAAGATGTACGTTTATTAATATTATTTGATCCATTATTAGTATTATTCGAATCTGATGTTGATAAAAATTTTGATTCATTAAATGTTGAAATTTTTTTTGTTTTTTTATCAAAATGTTGATGGGATTCAGAGTGTATTGAAACTGTTTCATCACAATTTACCAATGAAGCATAACTTGATGCTGCTGAAAGTGATGATAATGGTGTTTGATCAAGTGATGATGGCAATGAAGAAGCCATTGAATAAGAATCATCCGTAGAATTCATTCGTTGTATATGAAGAAAAAACTAACTGCTTGTTGATCTGCAATAATAAAGTGATAGAATGAACATTGCCAAATGAAAGAACGGTGCTCAGAGTGGCCCTCGGGTAATAGTTGAACGTAGGCGAGTGAAAAAGAGAGATAGAGAGACAGAGAGAGAGGGAGAAGAAGAAAAATAGAAAAAGAACTAGCTCGATTAATCTCGTCTTTTCTCGTTCTCTGTCAGTTTTTTTCCTCCTTACTTGTATGTTTCTGTTTTGTGTATCGAACGCTAGTGCGCCCACGTTCGCTGTCATTATCTTTCTGCAATAATGTTGTTAATAACGGAACGTGAAGAGAAGAACGGGAGGGAAAAAGGTCATCAATAAAAAATAGCGTTTTTACTAGTGTTCTATCTTTCCTTCACTTTCTATAGCGCCTCAATAAGGGACCGAAGAACAAGTTGCCGCCATTGTCGTCATCACTGTCGAACAACACAATTGTCATTCTATGTTCCTACAAAAGATTTTCTTTCGCAATATGCGTAGGTTGACACACAAACGCGCTCCCATACACATACAAAAATATTTCCGTATACATGCTTTCGGTTGAACGCAAAAAGAAAAAAATAAAGAATAGGCGCAACGTTCGAATTAGGCAATGAGCAACGAAGTAAGCAAAGAATGCGTAGGTGGAAAAATTGACAACGACGTTATCGGGCGAAAATGAGAAAATAACAATATATTTTTGCTCGTTGTTTCTTCTTACTGACGACGAAGAAAAAAGTGAAGGAGGATGACGATATGTAGGCGTATTATAATAAATTGAAGCAAGCCTCCTACACATAAACAAAATAGTTGATTTAAATTTATTATGTCTTTTCTACTAGCACTATATGCATTCAAGATTGAAAAACGGCATTGATGCAATATATGATTACTGATTGTGCCAAGACATTCGATGAATGTGGAGATTAACAATTAGAGTACTAGAAAAAAAGAAAGAAAGAAGAAATGGAAGAGAAAAAGAAAACAAAAGATAAAAAAAAAGAAAGGAAAAAAAGAAGAAAGAATAAAATGCAAAGAGCATTCTAGAAAGACAAAACTATATATGTTCAAGTTATAACATATTGAGAAACGATAGAAAATGACGATGAGTACCACTTAATCGATTTGTGAATATGTATGACGCAATTTATGTAGAAGGACCATAACGAGCAATCAAACATTCAACATCGGAAGAATAACGATGTTCTTACGAAAGCGAATATCTTGATAATTAAGATTCTTATCAAGGACGTTTTCATTTCGGATAAAGAATTAGCTCAAGGAGACTTACATAAAGATAGAACTAATGCTAACTATATTTATAAAAAAGAAACACTAAGACTTTTTTTTGTTTCATCTGCACATATCAGGGTTTTTTTTACTTCGCTTTAATCGATTCAATTTAACGAGAATGATAAAATATATAATTGTCTTTTGACTGAACAAGAAAATCCACTCTATATATATCCTGTTCTATATTTTTTTCTTTATTGATGATAAGCTTCTTTTTACAATAAATACAAGGATCAAATTTCTATTGTATTAATAATCCAAAATGGATTCTAACAGTGAAGTTGTCTTTTTGACAAGTCGAGTAATATTATCATCGTGTTATGAATACTCGTATGATCAAGTTAAAAGGTGGTCGAACTATATTTGCTTTTCTAATATTGACAAAATACATTACAATGGTTTGCTATTCTTATCTTTATTAAAGATTTTTATCGTTAAAGTATGCGTATATATAGAACTAGATTAAAAAACTGAGAGAACTTCTTTTTCGATGAGATTTTTCGTATATAATAAAATTCATGAAGTGCGATTTTATATAAATCATTCTTGACCTATTTGACTAGAAAAGAAAATAACGAAAAAAAGTACACTGATAAAAATATATAACACATATAACGATCTATATATCAAAAATAATCTTATCGAACATACTTGGTTTTTGGGAGTTACTTTCTGTTATACCAGTATGTATGAATATATATATATATATTTATATATATAATGTCGATGAGAACGAAGAAAAGACATCAGTATAAAAGGAGGAAGAGAGAGACAGAGAAAGGGAGACAGAGGCAGAGACAGAGAGAGAGAAAAAAATAATTCATTGGCACTTTTTTCGAGCTGAAAGAAAAAAGTATGATGAAAGGGTATTATTGTTGATGTTTTTTTATCGATTTGATAGAAGAGATGAAGTGATTATTTGTTCGAAATTCGATAAGGGTTATCAGATATATTTCCATAGAATATTTTAAAATCATTTCTTTTGTACACGCTTATTGACTTAAGAACCATTTTTTCTTTAAAACAAAATCTTGTTTTAAATAGATATTTATATTACCTTAACAATTCTTTTATCTATATGAAATTGATGTGTTATGACCTTGCTTTATCGAAAGAAAGTGAAAGAAACAAAACAAAGCGAAGTTGTAAAAAGCAACAAAACAAGCCAAAAAAGTCAATCTCCCATCTGTTCGTGTTCGCATAAATACAAAGCACGCGAACAACGATCATCCTTTATTATTATCATCGGTAGAGGTGGGCTAAGTCGTTGTCGTCGTCGTTGTCTCGTTCTCTCTCTCTCTCCTTTCTTATATCTTTGTTTTACGTATATACATACATATAATTCGAAGCGTTTTCTACCGGAAACATCGGAGTGACACGTAATTGAAGAGTTGTAGCGCATGCCAAAAAAAGGAAAAAGAAAGACGAAGAACTTCACACGAATGAAGTGGGAATAGAAAAAAAAAGAGTAAGTTAGGAACAACATGTCAAATAAGAATCTTAGTAGCAATAGAAACAACAAGAAGACGATGAACAAACGATTCTCATTAATATATGCATGGGTTGAAGAATTATGACGACATGTCTCCTCTATCAATTCATTTTGTTATTGTTATTATCGAGATGCATCTAGTACGAATGGCGTCTCTCTTCAAGGTGACTGTATTTCGGAGCGACATACATAAAAAATTAATGGAAATAATTAATAGAACAAGTCAAAGAGAAGGACAGAATAACACAACAGAATCTAAATATTCAGGAAAAGATGGAATAGTCCCTAGGGATTACATGAATAGTTTCTTTTAAAACCTAAAATATATATCAATAATAGTATATTCTAAATATATATATATATGTATATAATTTTATCATTTTGTCCTATAAATAGAGTGTGAGAAATATAGGATATCTCTTATCAATTGAATTTTTATTACACATACACATAATAAATGAAAACTTGAATTCAATGTATCAAAATCTATAGATATATAATTTCAAGAGAAAACAGTTGAATTAATTAGTAACATAAAGCGTGTCACATGAGGTACATGATCCTTTAAGCAGTATTAATCGTATATCTAAATATAGTAATATTTCATGTTTTTTAATCTCATATATGTGGAACTATTTTTGAATAAATCTTTAACAGTTTAAGAATTAAAATAGTTTATAACGAGATAATATTTATTTAACAAAATAAATAAGGAACTAAAAATTTTCTTTTTTCATTATTAACAATATTAAGTTTTGTTTATCTCAAGGACACAAAACAAAACTAAAAATTAATACAATTTTACTCATAAAAATATCAATTATTGTTTTATAAAGAAATACTTACATATTCATATTATTCAATTAATTGAAATTACACTCTAATATTTATCGACATGAAATGGAAAGAATAATCTCATATATTATTATTTCATAACATAAATATAAGTATTTTTTTCCATTGACATATACTTAAATATTCAAATATATCTGTTAAGATTATACTTCAAATAATATATACAATTTTTTTTAAATCATAAACTGTATGATCTATACACTTACATAATAAACTGCACTTTTAGTGTGTTTAACAAGTATTTGATAACCTATGGGAAGAGAATAATTCCCATTGACATACGAAAAATTCCCCATCTTTTATGGGGATATATGTAATTACTTCCTTTTTTGTTTCTAATCGATCAAATGTTATATCATTTATCGAAAGACTTTTCTACTTGAAACACTTTATATGATTGGAAGTAACATGTTCAAATGTAATTTGTTAAGTAGCTAAAAAAGAAATTGTCAGGAATTACATTTCTTTATACATTTCCCGTCCATGAAATGAACATATACCGTCTGTCATTATGTACTATTTTTTCTCAAGGATTTCATATATTTCATTAAAATAAATGACTCAATCAACTCAATTGGAACATTTTTATCTTTTATCATGATTTTTTAATGCATCTGTTAATTTCCTGTTCTTATCATGATTTGATTTTGATAAGTATTAAATATCATAATTACATATTAGTAAATTATATTCTTCGAGAAAAAGAAAATAATAATAATAATACAACACTCAGACATCATATGTACTTACTTAAAATTTATTTTATTCAAATATAATCCAATAAATATATTTCAAGATTATTTATTTTTGTTAATCGAGATTAGTGTAGATATTTGATGAAGTAAAATATTGATTTATTAATATAAATAGAATAAATAAAGTATGAGATTAAATGTAGAAATTTTATTAAAAATAAAGTATATTAAAGATTAATAGGAGTTTTTCTTATTAATTATGGAAATTTCTAATAGACGAAATATGAGATCGGACGTCATCATGTTGTTTTATAAATAAAATATAAATACGTCAATAGGCGATTCAAGCTTATTTTTGTAGAATTTTAATAATAGATTCTAGAATAATAATGATATTTGAGATGATAATTAAATATCTACATAATGTTTTAGTTTTACAAGACTCAAAAATATAATTATATTTGAGGAAAACATCATGCAACTAGAGCTAACAGTAATACAAAACATAATAACATATTTGTAGATTTGTTTTACTGAACTCTATATATTTAGAAAGAAATTTGAAATCATATTAATTTATAATAAAGATAAGATCACGTATATAAAGCTTGTGTAGGAGAGATCTTTTAATATCAATATTGATTTTTTCGTTATTTGAGACAGCTTAAGCTTTGTGTTTTAACTAACGTCGCAGTTTATATTTTACTTGTTGAGATAAAAGAAAATAACGATAAAATAGGGATGCAAACGTCATATATGTATACTCTAAAATCATTAGATATTTCTTCATCCTACGAAACAGAATCAATGTGATTAGAATAAATATTTAAAGGCTAGAAGATTCTTCGATATGAAAGTCGCAATAAATCGAAAGTGTTGATATATATCATAAATGACTAATATATAAACTCTGTCACTAACTTTTATAGTGGTGTAAATGAAAGAATTTATGTACAGGAAAGCATTATAAATTTCTGTTTCTACTTGTATTGTACTTTTTGACTATACCTAGGATAGTTTTTATTTTCTTTCAAAATACCGGTATTAGACTCTAGATAACACTTTTGACGAAACAAACTAGACCATCCTACTGCAAATTTCAAGTTCTCGGTTGTTTTCTTCGAAGATTCTATAGTACATTACCAGAGATAGGGAAAACGTAGAATTTCTTCAAAAATGATATTTTTCAGCATTCTCTGGGTACAACAATAATCATGGTTCGTCAGTTTAAGTGACAACCAATTAATTTCCTTTCAGAATATCTAAACTAATTTGAAGGATTCTTTCCTGTTTCTGAAAGAGTTCACGGGGGTGGGTGCAAGTACAAGTGCGTGTGTGGGCGAGCAATTATTACTACACCATCAATCATACTCACACCCACTCACATCTTCAAGATTATTTTAATTATTTAACCAATTTGTTTTCGAAATAATTAATATAAAAATAGATCATCTTAGAATGTTTTTTATAATTTGCTTCATTTACACAACACTGTTTTCCGTTTCCTATTAATATTAAAACGAGCTAAAATTCAAATTTAACAACCATTTTTTTACATATTTTCATTGTTATGTTAAACTCAGTAATCGCTGCAAAAGAACTGATCAGAATATATGGTTTTATTCTTTTATCAACAAAAAAATTCTATAAAATCAGTTTATGCATTAATATTTTTCGTATTTATGAATTTAAATCAACACATTATAAAAGAAAACAGAATATTTATAAAATTTTAACTTTTGGTAAATCAATTTACCTGCATTAACACAGAAAATATAATTCAGTCCATTATATATATATATGTAAGATGTACCTCCACAACTTTTTATATCTATCCACAAGTATTCATAGGTGTTGGTTGTGTTGCTGTACTTGCATTTAGAAGATTCTGTTGTTCTCTTTTAATTTTCTCTTGATTAATTAAAACTTGCTGCACATGATTTGGTAAGCCTGGATTGAGTGTCAGCATAAAAGGTAATATCATTTTTGGTGTTTCATTAAGATCAACAATAATTTTAAGAAAAAGAGTATCATCTCTTACATAAGCATTATCGTCTTGTTGAATCATTGGTAAAGGACAGAATTTTGGTATACCAGTTGCAATATTAGCATCTCCGGTAGGTCGTTGATAAGAAGCTGATTTGCCGTCTGGACGAAATGAATCAATCATATGTCGATTATTACCTGTTTGATCAAATAGGCAAAATGTCACTTTATGTTCAAAGGGCCATTTAAGTAGAGCATCATAATCTCCCTTCATAAGTAGAAAGAACAGAGACAGATGAGTTCTTCTAGCAGTGCCATCGCCTTGAAGATATAGACGTGCACGCATTTTATAGCCATACGGTGATGAATAAAATATTGGAGAAAATATACTGGTTTGTCGTTCTGATACAGCATCAGACATTTTTTCTGCTACACGATCAATTCTCCATGTTAATGTACCATCAGTTGATACATGTTGATTTTGTTCAATATTTTGTTTTACTAGTTCAATATTTTTTTGTATATCTTCTTGTTGTGGCTGAAAACTCGCTATTCTATGATTTCTATCGGTATTTTGTGTTTGAAAATTATTAACTTCGTGAGTAGCTAATTGAGTAAGTTCATTTAATTTAATAAAATCTCGACTTAATTGAACTGTATCATCATTCAATTTTTGAACTTTATCAGCTAATTCAGATAATTTTGTTGATGTCTCTTCTTCGAGGTCATTAGTATCTGTATTCGTTTCCATGTCATGATCTTGGTCAGATATTTCTGGAGCATTAAATTTACCTAATAATGCTAAAGCAGTCGCTTCTTGATGTTTTTCACTTAACAGATGAGCAGAAAATTCTTCTTTTCGAATCTTTAATTAAAAATACAAAAGAAAAAACCCTGAAGTAATTTTTTGAATTCGAATTGAAATCTTTTACCATTTCTTCTCCACAATGTGGTGCTAAGGGACATCTTTGAAAAAGACTGCTACAAGTTTTTGATTGATGATTTATTAATGCTTCATTCGAAGAAAATGATTCTTGACATCTATCACAAGAGAAATTAGTGTGATCTTTATCTAAATGTTCCTATTAAAATATAAATGTATGTTATTAAAAGGTAAAGAAAAACTATTAAAATACTAACTTGATAGGCATTCACGGTTCCTTTCCAAGAACAATTTTTACTTGTTTTATAAATACACGTGATTGCCTTCTTGTCTAATTCTCTTTTAAATGCACGATCAAGCATTATCTTTAAAAATAAATGCACACTTATGATAAAATATCACAGATTTAACAACAGTTCTTACTTGATTTCTATCAAATTGATAGTTGCAATCTTCGTCGGGACAAGTCACTTGACCATTAGTTGCTGCTGCTATACGTGATTCAAAACATCCTTTACAAGATCTATGACCACATTCTACAAATTGAATAGGCTCTTTCATAATGTATCCACAAAAAATACATTTCCACTTGTCTTCTATTTCTTCTATACCATCTACCAAATATCCACATGGTGCATAACTTGACATCGAACGGGATAGACTTTGATATAATTCTTTATTACTAGCCATAATCGCTAAAATATACTAATAATTAATATCAATTTATAATAAATATAATATGTTGACAAAAAGCAGTTAGGTTTCTTCAGTTTACTCAAGAGGTATAATTTGTAAGAGGTGACTGATGAAAAAGAATATTATTCATAGATCGAAAAATGAATAAAGAATGGAATAAAATAAATTCAGGGAAAAATAACTCTATGATAAGATTGTCATAAGGAAAATAAAAATGAAAATATACAAATTCATATAGATAAGAAGTAAAAGATACGAGATGAGACTAGAAATACAATAAGCGGATGTAAAAACAATGATTTTTCTTATTTCGTAACAGAATATTATATCTCAATTTTTAAATCTAGTATTCATTGTAAACTCAAATATCTGTCTAAGTTATATTGGTCTAAATATTGTCTAATGATATTTAAAAGTAAAAATAACAAAATAATAGAATTTCGAAATTGAAATATAGCGATACTTTTACGTTGAATATTAATAAAGAAAAATTATTCATATTTGTAAGTATTACTAACTTTTACTTCATTAATCATTAAACTAGGACGATGAAAACGTTATATATTCTAATTTCTAAGAATTAACCTGCTAGACGATAGAATTTCAGCGATTTATGACATATATTGAGAAAAATCAAGAAAAGTTGGAAATATCCAACTTTGTTCTGACTCTGTTGATTGGAATAAACACAATATGAAGGAAGTAGGAAAATGACGAATGATGTGAAGTGTAAGGTGCGCCACATATAAAGTAGTTTGCGATGATGACATCTATTTTTTTCAACAACAATCAATAGTACAATTCGTTTGGTATTATTTTATTTTGCTATAAAATATATTTTGCTAATAAATCATTTTCTTCTCATATTATTGAATAAAAATTCATATCCTTTTTTCTTTTATATATAATATTTGTTTGTTCGGATATTTCAGCAATAACAGATTTATATCTGTTTGCAGTAGAGAATCTCACTGAAATGATCGGCTTGTTAATGCAGCCTTTGTAATTTTTGAAATATTTCGACATTGAGCGCATTTTTCCTCGAGTCCAATGATGTGATACTATTAGTTGATTTTTTTGTGATCTTATTGGAGTATACTGAAAGTAATATCGATAGGGATCATTGGTAAAATTATTTTTTTAAACAAAAACTTCGGTAAGTGCGTATGAAAGATTGGTAAATTATGAAATAAGCAACTAGTTGATCCTATTTAGTTGAATAATTAAATATCAAGTTTTTCTACTCAATAGTTAAAGTCAATAGGTAACAATAATATAGACATCAGTTCATATACTGCTTTACTGACTGGAAGTAGACTCCGACAAAGATAAAGTAGAACGATGATTCCTAAGTTTTTCTGCACATCAAATTCGCTAGTTTTATAGAAAAGTTACTTTGATATTCAGTACCAGACTACTGTTCTACTTCTCTTAGATTTTTTTCAGTATAGCTTCCATCAATTATAATCGTACGTTTGATGGTTACTGTTAAGATTAAGTACATTTTAAATCAGTTACAATTGCTCACTTATAGAAATGAAGGATAAACTATATCGTCTTTTTGTATATCACCAACTAGGACTAGATATTATCACTTGATCATATTAAAA